CCCCACACACACACACACAGATTAGAGACGAGATCACTCTTTGTGGTGTTCGTTCGTTTATGTGTGCAGCCTGGAGGCACTGCAGCTGAACCACAACCGGCTGGGCGAAGCTGGGGCATCCCAGTCATCATGCCTCGGCACGACCCCCGGTGTGCAGGCGGTCTTCGGGCGCATATCCGTGCTCTCGCTCGAAGACAACTGCATCAAGGACTGGTGAGTACACCACACCACACCAGCAGGCTGTCTAAATTCGCGCCACGTGCATGTGTTGTATGGCCAGGAGTAGTCTGGGTGAGGTGTGTGCGGCCTTCAGCTCGCTGCGTGTGTTGCGCCTGCAGCACAACCCCATCATTGAGGACGCAAAGCAGGGCGGACTCAGACTGGCCAGACAGGTGAGGGAACCACTCACTCGAGGCTTGATGATTGTGAGGCAACTCGTATCATGGTATGTATCCTGCTGCTCTCAGTTGTTGATAGCCATGCTGCCGCAACTGAGGAGCCTCAACGGCGGCGAGGTGAGCAGACACGGATAGACACAGTCTGCTCAGTATCTTACCCCTCCCTGTCAGGTGGACTCGCGCGAGCGTACGAGTGCGGAGCGGTATTTCCTGTCGCTGGCCGTACAGGGCCACCCCGCCGTCAAGCAGCTAGACCCACAGGAGAGGGTAAACAGACTCGCAGGCAGGCAACCACAGTGCGAGTGCTGCGCTGCATGTCACGTGATTGATTTGTGTCCGTGTGTGCGCGTGTGTCGTGTCAGGGCGGTGTCAACGAGAAGCGCCTGAGGGAAATCCATGGAGAAGTACTCGTAGGTGCGCACCCCACCCCGCGACGGACGAGCAAATTTCATCCCGTGTTTGCGTGTGTGTGCAGTGTCGTCGGCGTCGGGGCAGCCGCAGACCATCGCGCAAACACTCATCAGTACTGATGAAACGGATCCCACACAATGATCGGAGGCATAGGCTCGCGCCAGCATGTAAGTATTCTGTGCCTTCTTCAGGTGTGACGTTGGAGGCCGGTGCGAGTTCGATCATCCACAAGCCGCCCATCACCAAGAAACTCCCGTCCACACTCCTCGTCAGGTACAATGATCTCTCTCTCGGCCAAGCTCTCACCCTGTGTTTTGGTGCTACATGGCATGCGGTGCGCAGAGATCTCAAGACGCTCTGTGCGCGGCTCTTCGGCCTCCCCGTTGCGCAGCAGAAGCTGGTCTTCTACGACGGAGTGAGTGAGCAACGAAGACCAACACACCTCCCCCACCATCACCCCACACAGACATTGCATTGGGCCGTGTGTGTGTGCGCGCCTCAGAGGCCCCCGGTGGCGGTTGATTTGAGCGACGACATGCGTGACCTGGCCTACTACGGCATGGGCTTCGCTCCTGATGCTGGCGGGGCAACAGAGGACGACAGACACACTAGCGACAGTAGCGGTGAAGGGGCAGGTGGTAGTGTAGGTGCCCGCATCAAGAGCAAGCAGAACCAGACTGTCGTCCGCGTAGAGGACGTAACTGAGTCTCAGCATAGCGGTGATGAAGGAGGCAAGGAGTGAGGGGCCGCTCGTACGTGCGTGTGGACACATGGAGGAGGGGGGCGTATAGCGACGCTCCATCCTCTCATTTGTCCTCAGACAGGTACGGCGGACCCTCATTCTGGCGGCCCTGCTTATCTATCTTTATGTAAATAGCTCCTGTGTCTACGTAAGTGTCCTCATGATATCTGACCGAATGACGGACCGTTCGATGCATGCAATTGAATGACGACACAGATGGAATGAACGGAAGTCACCCCATGCGACGCGCCCAGCCGAACTGGATCAAAATAACCGTCCAGTCGACAAAACACGCATCATCACACTCGCACACATACACGGTCTCTCCACTCATCTCATGCAGCCGACACCAGCTTGGTCTCCTCGTTGAGCTCCTGCAGCTTCTCCTGCTGGTCGGCATAGATGCACGCGGCCACAAAGTCCTCCAGGTTGCCGCCCAGGAACTGGTCGAGCGAGAAGTTCCTCTTGAGGCGATGGTCGGTCACACGAGCGTCCTTGTAGTTGTAGGTGCGGATCTTCTCGGACCGCGCCCCGGTGCCCACCTGCATCTTCCGCAGGGAAGCGATCTCCTCCTGCTGACGCTCCAGCTCCATCGCATAGAGCTTCGACCGCAGCATCTTCAGGGCGGTCTCCTTGTTCTTCAGCTGAGACCTGATTCACACAGCACCGCGCCGCACGGGGATGGATGGATGTCTGCATGGAGGGGAGAGGTCGTATTTACCTCTCCTGCTGGCAGAAGATGCGAATGCCGGTGGGTTTGTGGAAGAGGTCGACGGCGGTCTCGACCTTGTTGACATTTTGCCCACCCGCCCCGCTGGACCGAGCCGTCTTGAGCTCGACGTCATCCATGTTGAGCTCCACGCTCACATCATCCGTCTCAGGCATGATGGCCACGGTCGCGGTGGACGTGTGGATGCGGCCCTGACACCCGCAACCACACGCACACACAGAAGAGAGAAAGCGTTGTGTATGTCGCGTGACGGCTCCTCTGCGCTGATCCCCCGCCGACCTGAGTCTCGGTGACGGGAACACGCTGCACCCGGTGCACCCCAGACTCGAATTTGAGTTTGCTGTAGACCTTGTCGCCCTCCACCTCCATCATGGGTGGCTCCTCCTGAATGGACAGCCAGACACGCCAGCAGACGTGCACTTCTTCCGGCTCGCTGCTGGCTGGCGTTGTGTTCTCACTCACCGATACGATCTTGCACCGCCACCCCTGGTCACCGGCATACTTCTGGTACACCTGCCACAAGCAACAAACAGGGAGCAGTGGGCTAAGGACGGCCATGCTCCCTCCCCACACTGGATGACGCCATGCACCTCACCCACCCGCAGCAGGTCTTGTGCCCATATGCTGGCCTCGTCGCCGCCCGTGCCCGGCCGGATCTCCATGACGATGTTCTTGTCGTCGTTCGGATCCGTCGGCAGCAGCAATATCTGATCGACCGACCAACCAATAGACCAACGCACTTGCATGCTGCCTATGTTGCCCTCCTCCTTCCACTCCCACCATGACTGACCTCGAGTTTCTGCTTGAGCTCTGGTATCCTTTCCGCGAGCTCATCCAGCTCCATCTGCACCAACTCACGCATCTCACTGACACCCACAACACACCACACCGTGCATCCCCATGGTCCTCTGCAGTGTATGTCATCGGATTTCCACTCATTTGCTCACCCTGATTCGGCCGAGAGCAGTTCCTTTGTGGTGTCCAGGTCTTGCAGCGCCTTGCGCCACTCCTGGAAGGTGCTCATCAACTCCTCCTTGGCTGCGATGCCCTTCTGGATCCGAGCCATCTCCTGACACGCACCCCAATACCAACCCACACACAGACGCACACACATACACACACAATCACACACACACACACACTGAGTCTGCAATCATTGATCATTCTTTATTTCTTATAAGGTGACACACCTGTGGGTTGGCGAACACGTCAGGGTTCTCAAGCTGCTTCTGCAGGTCGTGGTAGTCTTGCTCCTCGCTCTCCAGCTTCCGCATCAGCGCCATCTCACCCTCACTCAGACCTCTGATCACGGCCACCTCTGGCTCCTTGACCACATGCAGACGCACACAAGAAGACGTCATCGGCATCCAGCCACCCAGCGGCGGGAGCCGAGCCGCGTCTGTCCTCGCCGACGCTTTGCGTTGATGAGAGGACAGGCGGAGAGAGGGGATGAACATTAGGGATGCATGGGTCCTGCCTTTCCTGCGGCCGGCGCTTCGATGGTTGCGAAAGAGCTCTGTCGGCAGCTGGTCAGCAGCTGCACGCCACAGGGTGGTCAGGAAGAGGGCGAGAGGGAGTGGGAGGAAGCGCAGGCCGGGCCGGCGTGGCTGCAAGGCGTCGCTGGGCTCTGATGTTGGCGTCCTCTGAGAGATCTGCCGCAGCTGCGCCATGATCTGATGCAGATCTCGCCCAAGCCGGTACTCTCCTTATTGCCGCTTGGCTGTTCAACCGCTGCCCTTCCTCTTTCGTTTGCGGCGCACGCATACAAGCTCGCACGTAGGATCGAACGAAACCCGTTGCCGTTCGGGTGTGCTTCTGCACGTGTGTAGCGTACCGTTGTCCTTGGCCGAAAGCCAACTGCGAGGTAGATGCGATGACAGGCGTTGGCAACTCATGGATTCATGTTTTCTGTATTGTCTGTCTGTTGTGTGCAGGGTGGCTGGCGGCGCCTAGCTGCCTCTAATCCATTGAGATGGCGGCCAGCGGCAACGTGCCGCAGCTAGTTCCGCAGCAGGGAGGAGGGCAACTCCCCGTCCAGCTGCCCGACGTCATTGATGGTCGGCTGCCTGGCGAGATGGCCCGGTCTGTCCGGACTTGCTATCCCAGGACCGGCCACGGGGAGGCCGACTGGCTCAGTCGCATCAGGACCATCTGCATCTTGCTTTCGCCACATGGCGGAGCGAACCAACAGGGGCTCGTGGAACTGAAGGTATGGTGGGTGCATGGCGGTGGACCGGCACAACACGGCTGGATGTGTGTGTTGATTGTCTGTCCTTCATTCAGAATGCGTTGGCGGAGCGAGGGTGCATGGCTGTGGAGCAGGTCAACGTCATGTTTGTGCCTGAGGACCACGGCAACGTCGATGGGAGTGGCGTGGCTAGCTTCTTCCTTGGCAAGGACGTCTTGCCTTCGCTCCGCCGTCTGGAGGAGCTCAAACGGGCCATCGGACACCCCTTGGTGGAGTTCGTCCGCGAAGAGCCGCCAGCCGTAGAGGAGTGGACAAACTGGGTCCCGATGTGACTCGACCTGTGCAAGATCCTTGCCGCCCTCCCCACGGCCCCTCCGCCCTCCCCCTACATGAAGGAGTGGGTCAAGAAGATCGCAAGCATTGCACCCGCTGTGGTCGTGCACCCCTCTCCCGCCCTCTCCCCGGCCGCCAGTGAGTTCGCCAAGCAGCTCCACTTCCGCTCGGCGAAGGCCGTGGTCTTGCAGAGGCGCGAATTGAGGCGCGGGGGGGCCGTTCCGGCGGGGGCGGGTCAGGCTCACCCAATCGATCCAGACAACTACCTGGCCCCCGACGCATTCCCCAACGCAACCACGCTCATTGTTAGCCGCCCGGCAGATCGTCACGAACCCATACCAGCCGTCGCCAAGAGGATGCTGTCGCTCAAGAACCTCCGTCTGGCTGCTGGCCGCTATGGCGTGCGTCACGACGATGCGCTCCACGTGCTGCGGATGCTTGCAGGGCACCTGCACAAGGGGAAGCTTGCAGGGGTCATGGATCCGTCCAGGGGCAACGCGGTGGTGCAGTGGAGCGACCAGGACGTCGCAGGTCTGCCAAACATCGAATCCTTTCACATCAAGCCTAACGGTAATTAAGGAAACACCTACAGCTGATCATCTATCTTCATTCATGTGTCGCGCGCGCGTGCGTGTGCGTGCATTCGTTCGTTGGTGCGTGTGTGCAGTTCCCCCTCTGTCTGGCCGGCTGTTCGTGGAGCAGACGGTGCGGTCGCTGGCGAAGCTGCCGGGGATTCAGGAGATCAAGATAGAGATCGAGGAAGGCGCCGTCAACGACGGCATCCGCAACGGTATCTCAGGTGCCGTCGATCGGCCTTCAGTCCCTTTCCCCGCAGGCTTCACCGTGCGCTTCGAGAGGGTTGGCGAGTCGGACGTAGCGGTCATCGCGAGGAGGGTGCCAGCAGCGATGTAGATAGATAGCACAAAGGGGCGTGGTGGGGGTGGGTGAGTAGTCATTCGGCCAGGACATGTCTTGTCGACCGTCTGTGAGTAGCTAGCTGTACCAGCACACCGTGTGAAGATGAATTCAACGCATCCGGCGATTGGGTATACGTGGCAATGCACTGGTCCGGTCAGTCATCATATCAACACACCCACACACTGCACCGAAGAGGTCACCGATCACCACACGTACGTATCCATGCAGCAGCAGGGAGTCAAGAAGGCAGAGGGAAAGCCTGCTTGTGTGTCTGTCCTCCATCTATCGATGGACATGCATACAGTCAGCGACTGTCTGTCGGTGTGTGTTCCTTCCATTGCACCCGCCCATCAGCTATGTACACGCACCTGCCCTCGGTTCGCTAGCTAGCTTGCCCTCCACCTCACACCACACACCACTCCCCACTCGCTATCGATTCATCACTTGCACCTGAAGTTGAACGCTGCCTCGATGCAGGCCTTTAAGTCATCCTCCCCATCCTCTGCCTCGGGCTGCGTCGGACCACTTTTGCCACCTGAGCGAATGAACGCACGCACACGTGCCGGACCGTTCCTTTGTTTGGTGCACACATACGTGCACGGTGTGTGTATGCCCGCACGCACGCACGCACCTGGTGAGATGGGCGCAACAAACTTGTGGTGCGTGCTCTTTGGCGATTCGCGAAACAGGGCGAACTCCTTCCTGATGAACGCACGGACAAGCAAACAAAGGAAAGGCTGGGTGGGTGCGTCTGTGTGCGTATGATAGGGACGTGTGTGCGTACTGGCAGGCAGGGCATTCGCCAATGTCCCAGGCGTACTGGCCATGGCCGACGGCAACGCCGTGGGAGGTCTCGCGCAGCAGCCAGGCAACGCACTGCAAAACGAGGCGCGGACACGGCAGTGGATGCATGAATGCACTCACTGCACGATGGATGGATGCACCCACGCACCCATGCGTACCTCCCTACAGAGTGTGTGACCTGAGTGAGACGCAGAATCCCATGAGGAATGCTGCTCTGCTCGCTCCCGCGTTTCTTTCGCTTGCTCACCGCAGGGGAGCTTTTGCGGTTCCCTCTCCGAGGAGTAGGTCATCTCAAACTTGCCACAACACTTGAAGCACGTCGTCGACTCGCTCACAGAGGCCGCCGCCATCTCGACAGACACAATTACTCGCCTGGCCAGCAAACGAGGCACAACAGGAGGCATCAAGCCGATTGGTGCATTCCTCACCCCAGGTCCTCACCTTTCGACGTGACCCTCAGCCAATGTCGGCGCTACTTCAGCAACTGCTGCTCTCGCAAATGGCAGAAGATGTTGGCCGCTGCCGCGCGATGCAACGATACCAACACCAGAGGTTTTTTCCCGTTTTGTCGCGAGATCGCATGCACAGCTTGCAATCATGGTTCCGGCAGATCCGCCCGTGTAGGGTACCCTTATTCTCTGCCCAGGTCATTGCAATGGTGAGATGAGCTGGAATGGATTGGGTGCAGATTTTGAGTGCCCTCGGCTCGTGTGTGATGTCCGGACATGGTGTGCTGAAAGATTCTTGTGTGTCAATCATTGGCATCATCTTTCAGCACATCGCGTCAGTCAGCAGTGTGTGTGCACTCGTTCTGATAATAAAACACAACAGACCCGGCAGCCAGCCATCCTGAATATAAAAAAAACAGGCGGCGGGCGGGCATCCAACAGCCAGTAGATAAGCGAACACAGCCTGCCGGCCCAAAATAAAGGTACCACACGACCACACACACCCCTGTAATATGTACAACAATCCACCGCAGCCTTTGGAGCAAAAAAGATGCGTAGGCCGTCCACCGTCCGTCCGTCCGTCTGTATCACATATGGGAATAAAAGCATTGGTCACCATCCATCCAAACGCACACACACACGCAGGCCATCCATCCATCCATCGATTCATGGATCCCTCCCCTCTCCCCTCCCTCCTGACAGGCTGCTCACATACATAAATTGCACATGTACATGTATGTGTGTACTGATGCACGGCTGCGTTAGTCGGTCAGTCGGCCTCGGCCGCATCAGGGTCCTCCGCCGACACCTCACTCTCCATGTGGCCCGACACCTCACTCTCCATGTGGCTCACGGTGCGCGACGCCGGATATGATGCCGATGCAGACGCCGATGCCGATGCGGCCGCACTGGGGTTGCCGGACGGCGACCAGAAGTGGTCCTTCCACTCGGGCAGCTCCTCCCGGCCCTGGTCGGTGTCGCTGGCGGCTATGTTGAACACCTGGGGCGGGGGGGACATCTGCAGGGGCGCACGGCGGCTCTCGTCTCGGGGAGTCACACGCACCGGCTGTATAGTCAACACACACACACAACACACACAGAGATAGGGATGCATGGGAGTCATCACTCCCCTCTCTCCCTGCCCTCATGTTTGCTTACGATGCGAGAAGCGAATGCGTTGGGAGGTCTGAGTGCCGCCCCTCTGTTGAAGGCTTGCACCAGTGAAGGCACTGACATGCGCAGCTTAGCCGCCTCGTCGCCACCCCCGTCCACCTGCCCGCCCTTGGCCGCCTCAGCAGCACTCAGTCGCGTCAGGTCCAGGAGAGGGATCTTGCTGGGGCCGAACGACACGCGACGGCTTTTGGACGGCACCTCGGGCGACGGGTGCTCGTCGATGTCACCAGCACCGTCCACACGGATGGCGGGGGACTCCTGCTGCTGGGCGAGGGGAAGGGCGAACGGCACGGGAAATCGGTCCTCGACCGAGTTGTTGCTGCACCTGTCACCGAACAACGGGCGGGCCGTCTGGGGCGTCAGCTGAACATTCGGCAACCACACAAAGAGCACGTGAGCGCGGGTTTTGTGTTGTGTGGTGTGTCGCGTTGTGTGTGGTGTGTATGCGTACTTCGCGAGCTGGTCGTTTGATGGCTGTCCTGGGAGTGCGCGAGAGTCGGGCTCTGGCTGGCGGGGGGGACGGCAACTTGAGCAGCCGGATGAAGCCCGCAGTGGGCACCAAACTCTCATACGATGCCGGCGAACGGATCACGTCACGCCTGCACACATACACGAAGACCGACAAGACAAGACAACCAAACCAATCAGCACGGCACATCTTCCCTCTCCCCCGCATGTGGCTCTCCATGCTGACCAGGCAGATTCAAACGCTTTGATTAGGTCAGTGGTCATGATGATGAGCCGTGAGGCCGAGTCGAGCACCTGCAGGTTCTTCTTGGTGATCTTAGTCTCCTTCTTCTCATCCCTCGCGCCACCGCCCGTCGTCTCGGGGCCGCCGTTGCCGCCCTCGGTGGGTGCAGTGGCCTTGGGAGGCGGGTGGGGGAGTGCGATGTCGGAGGGCTCCTCCTCGGCGCACCACTCTAGGACACGACGGCAGGCCTTGACCACGCCGTCATACTGCAACGTTATCTCACTGAGTTGGCCAGAAACTGAAGGAACAAACAACACAGAGACACACCAAGGCAAGGGCCTCTTGTCGGTCCGGTGTGCAGTGTTGCTTAGCTGCCTGTCTTACCATAGTCATGTAGCTCAATCAGTCGGTCCAGTGCATTCTTCTCCCGCTTGGTGATCCCCTCCATTTCTCCCTCTCCCTCCTCAATTATCTCCAACAGCCCCCCATCGGCCGATCCGCCGCTCATGGCGCTGGCCATGGACGCCACCGACTGCATCGAGTCCCTGGGCGACTTGATCTTGGCCGCCATCGCAGCGGCCTCACGCGACATGGCCGCCATCTTCTGCAGAGGGGAGGGGGACGGCTGACGCAAAGGCGACAGAGCATCGGGCGATATGGCCTCGGCGCCGCTCAGCTGCTGGTTGGTGGGCTTGGGAGGGATGGGCGACAGCAGATCTGGAGAGGGCGATGGACTGACGGCTGGCTTGGCGAGCCGGGTGGGGCTCTCGGGGTCTTTCGGCGCCTCGACAATCCGGATGCTCATGGGCGGGCTGCGCGGCGTGGCGCTCTGCTCACCGAATGCAGGTGTCTTGCTCTGCTGGTGGAAGACGGGCTGGTGCATTGGGATGACGGGAGGTGGGGTGCTGGTGATCTGTGTGGGCGAGAGGTTGACTGCCGTGGGGCGGTATGATCGGGCGTGCATGGATATCTCCTTCTCCAGGAACTTGAGCGACTGCTTGAGCTCCAACAGACGGCCGTCGATGTCCTCTGAAGGAAAGGAAGACAAACACAACACATGTGATGGATCGACGTGTGTTTGTATGTGAGTGAGTGTGTTGGTGTCACGCACCTCCTAGCCCCCGTGTGACGAGTCTGAGGGTGCCCAGTTCCTCCTTGAGCTTGGTGACGAACGGGGGGAAAGGCAGCTCGGCCTTCCTCTGGGGGGTCCAACCGAAACGACTAGATGACGGCGACGCGTCCATATCCGAATAGACATCCTGCGACATACACACAGCATTCATTGTGATGCGCTGTCCATGGACACGCCCACCCATTTCCTGTGCGTCTCTCTCACCGCCTGGTCGACATTGTGCTGTTGCTGTTGTTGCCACTTGGTATCGATGCCCTTCCCCCCCTCCCGCTGGTACGCCACCTCGGTCAACGCACACACCACAGCGTGCAGCAGGGTCACCTTGGTGCTGCCACGCTTGTCCTTGTAATCCGCCAACTTCTTCAGATCGCCCAGGTGAAAACCCCGGATGCCGCCATGCACCTCTCTGCCGCCATTAATAGCAGTGCTGGCCGCGCCACCGCCATTCTTGGCCTTGGTGGTGGCGGAGGGCCCGGGGATCCGTGTTGGCAGCTCCTCGCGTGGCGTGGGGGGCGACTTGCGCGCAGAGTGGTTGGGCGGCCGCACCTTCGGAGGTGGGGGTGGCAGCTTGGACTTTGCTGTGAATGGTGGACGGGGGATGCTGGACGGCGGGAGGGCGCGAGAGGGCCCAAAGGGGTGGTTCGTGTCACTAGGTGCCTGCATGGATGGACACATACATCAGACATGTGTTGTGATGTGTGTGGGGGGGGTTGGTGTTATGTGCGTACCTTGGCTTGTGTGCCTGTGTGCCCGTTGATGCAGTTGATGAGGTGGAGGCAGAAGTGGCAGAGCTGCTTGAGACTATCGGAACTCAGCAACTGCACACACACACAGAATGTATGGGGTGGAGTGGCGCGTGCTGCTGTCTGCTTCATCTGTCTGTGTGTTACCTGCTTGCATGCCTCCTGCAGCCGTTGGATCTCCTTGAGTACCTCGGCGCAACGAGGCTCGACAGTCAGAGCGATCTCCAGCACTGATATGCGCGCCTGGGGCCGCTCGACGTACGCAAATGGGAGGAGCTGCACACATCACCACTCGCACCACACCCACAGAGTGAGAGGGCGGGCCTCCGTAGTGTGTGTTCAGGTGAGTGTTGTGTGTGTGACGTACCTCTTGCTCCATCTCCCGCAGTTCATTAAGGGGCCCCTCGTAGGCCCTCAACGCTGTAATCTCCTCCTGCACGCAACACACGATGGCCACAAGAAGGGATAGAGTATGTCCTTCACGTCCATCCATCCCGCCTGATGCACCCACCTGGCACAGGAATGCCTGGTTGAGACGCTCTATGTCCTCCGCCAGTCCCCTCTTGAGCTGCTCAAACGCCTTCCTCTCCCCCTCACCACACACCATGTCCCGCAGTCGATACAGCAACAAACCCAACTCGCGGTCGCCCTCCCGCTGCTCGCTGCCCCTGTTGGACGGGGCGCCAAACGACACCACACTGCCGCTGCACCGCAGGGACTCGGACACCTCCGGCAGGGCGGCCTGGGGCGGAGGGGTGTGGTTGGGCTGCGTGAGGATGGCCAGGGGGGTCGGCATGGTGGGTGCGATGGCATCGAGCTTGAGGGGAATCTTGAGCGGCAGCAGGATCTGGTTGCACAGGATGCCTGGCTTGTACGTCAGCCGGCGAACGGTGATGAACAGGTTCTGCACCACACACGTGCACATAGAGGAACATTGCGGGTATCGGTGTTGTGTGGTCGTGGGGTGTGGGCCTCTCCCTCCCTCCCTCCCTCACGCCCACCTGTGCGCGTCCGTCAGTGAGGATCTTCTTCTTTTGTGGCTGAGTGCGGTCCTTCTCGGCAATGTGGTGCGGCTTCGTCTCCTGCCGCTTGGCCGGCGGGTCGGGCCGAAACACCGACCGCAAGGCGTCCATATCCAACACCATCCGCAACTTGGTCTCGTCCAACGCTGTCTCCTATACACACACACGCACACACACACACACACACACACACAGAACAATTCATTCATCTCCCTCCCTCCCGCTTCGCTTCGCACCCGCCCTTTTTTCCCCTCACTCACCTTGAAGAGAGACTTCTCCAACCTATCGTCAGGTATGCTAGTGACGTGCAGCTTCTTGCCCAGCGGGAGGGCCGCGCCGCCGGCCGATTTGGCCTTGACCAGCGCACCGCTGCTGGCAGCCGACGCCTTCTTGATGGGCGGACCTTTGCCCCGGGGCGGCGGGGGAGGGGGCAGCTTCCCCTTGGGCCGGGGAGGGATGCCGTTCTTGGGCTTGGCCACAGCGGGCTTCTTGGCAGTGGCCGTGTCGGTGCCAGCCGCCGCGGGAGCGGGCTGGGGCTGGGTGGTCTGCTTGGGGGGACTGGCGGGCTTGTGTTTGTTGTCAGTCTTGGTGTCCGTCTTGTCCTGGTTGGCCACCGCCTTGGCCAGACCGGTGAGTGTGTTGGGAAGGTCCTTGAGCTTCTTGACCCCCAGTTGCTTGGCGAGGAATGGCAAGAAGTAGGCAGCCATGTCCGCTATCTTGCTGTGGCGCCGCACGTCCGCCCCGATGCCGCCCTCCCTGGTGCTCCTCCTCTTGTCCTTGGACGGTGGCCGCTGCTGCCGCTGCGGCGATGGGGTAGGGACCGTCGGGTCCTGCACCTCCTCCCGCCCCTTGACGGTCTGCGCCTTCTCCTGCTTGCCACGGTGTGCCACCCACAGGTAGGTCGCCTGGCAGCCCACCGACGCCTTGGTGGCACTCATGGCGTCGTAGAACCCCTCTGCGTCGGGCTGGCCGACGGCGCGTGGGGGAGACTCGGGCACAGCGGGAGAGGAGAGAGCAGTTGTGTTGCTGACGTTGCCGGAGGTGGGTGACGCGTGCTGTGGGGTGAGAGTGAGCGGTGCTGTCCAGGTGGCGATGGTGCGGTGGGTGCTGCTCACGCTCATGACGTCTGTGCCCGGGTTGTGCGAGCAGAGGATGGGTGTGCCGTGGGCGAGGTGGCTCGTCTGAAGCGGAACCGTGTTGCTGGCGACGCCATGGGCTGGCGGGTGGGCAGAGACACGGCTTGGTGGCCGTATGATGTCACACATCAGCCCCACAACACTGAAACCAACACACCCGAATCCACACAACGAGTTATGAATCATGGGCCAAGATCCATGCTTCTGCGGTGCATATTTCTTACCCAGCGATGGCTCCCAGGCACAGGCATGTCAGCAGGCATAAGAGGTACCCGAGGACCTCGACCGAGTGCTCAAACCTCCAGTACACGGTGGCTACGAGCACGAACAGTGTCGTGCAGGTGCTGAAGAGGCCCAAGGACGTTAGCCTCATCCTCACCAGGCCTCCGAGGCTAAAGAGCTAACGTCCTCTGGCCGCCAGGGCGGCGCGTCGACGTCTTGTCGCCGCTCTTCTGTCGAGCCGATGGCTTCTTCTCTGGTTCCGCTGACTCCGCGGCCTACTGAACCTCGACTAAGAAGCCTTGCAGGGCCAAAAACGAGTTTCCGAAATGCGAGCTTGCTTCCAATGCGAGCTTGCTTCCAAATTCGAATGACGTTCGAGATCTGAGGCGCTGAGGATCTCGTGAGAGCCAGTAAGGTTTGTAGATGCTATAGCAATGAGTTTCATTCATGAATGGTTCGAATGCCCTTCTGTGGCGCTGTCACCTGATGATGGCGTCTGCCGCACCAGAGTGTCCAGGGATGAGTACAGCCAGATCCAGCAGACGGCATATGTCAACGAGACCGGCGCAGCACACCTGGAACTCTTCCTCATCGGCGCATCTCCAGCAGTGAGGCACCCAAAAGCTACACGACGGTGTTTCACTCTCCCTCCCTTGTGTGCGTGTGCCGGTTGGTATCTTGTCTGTCTGCAGGTGTCTATTCTCTTCTGCCACGCCCTCATGGTGCTGCTGCGGTGGCCGAGCTCCCTTGTGCTCCGCTTTGTACTGGAGTTCCTTGCGGTAGTGATGCCGCTGCTGGTGCTCTTCTGTGCGCCTCGCCTGTCTGTGAGCGTCATGTGCGGCCAGCTGGGCGTGGTCGCCATTGCTGTCATGACGGAGAGGCGAAAGGCCTCGAGTGGTGCTGATGGACGGATCTTCCGCACGAGCGACTTCTGGTACGCACACAAGTAGTCGAAGAGAGACCGGCACTTTGCTCTTGGTTGATGCTCCCGTCTGCCTGCCTGCCTGCCTGTTTGTTTCTTTGTCTGTTTGTCTGTGTTGTGTGTTTCCCTAAGGAAGGTCAGCTGAAACGCGGCCGCATTGTGCAGAGCCAAAGTGAGCAGAATGAAGGCTGTGACGGCCACACAAGGCTGTGCCTGGATCATGTGTGTGGATTCTACAGGCGTCCGTGCTACATATCTGACTATCGGGCTGTTGGCGCCATTGGAACAAACATTGGTTCGCCGGCAGATCTTTAAGATCGGAATACCGATGGATGGATGGATGGATGGATGTGTCAGCCATTCTTGCGGTCGACTTTTTCATCTACCCGCGGCGGCTCGCCAAGACTGAAAACTACGGATTCTCTGTGGTGAGTAATTGAGGGCTAACATACCGCCTCTCCCCTCCATCCATCCGTGGATGAGCGTTGTCCACGCTCTTGTTCCGTCAGATGGACGGGGGCGTCGGTTTCTTCACCCTAGCGGGCGGCATGGTTTCCAAAGCTGCCAGAGGTACTTAGGCACCATACGCATTAGTGTGGCTTTGTGTGGCTTTACATCTGTGTTTGCGTGTGCTGCACAGGCAGCAGAGCGCCAACGTCCCTTCGCGTGACAGCCTACAGCCTGTGGCCCCTCCTACTGCTGGGCGCCATTCGATTGATCCTCGTGTGGGGCGTCGACTACCACGTGAGCATGAGAAAGGACGGCGGCGCGGCTAAACGGATGCCGCCATGGGCGTGTCGTGTGTGTGCAGGTGCCCACTTCTGAGTACGGTGTCCACTGGAACTTCTTCTTCTCTATCGCCCTGGTGACATTAGGTGGGGAGGTACAGCAACAGTGGCCAGTGAGTCCAGCCATATATGTCTGCTGATTGGGATGTGTGTCGTGCCAGGTTCGTCATTGGTGGTCAATCGTCTGTTCCCCGCCGAGTGGGCCGACGCGGCTGGACTCATCATAGCTGCGGGTACCTTTCCTACCTGCTGTGTGGCTCCTTCCCGCACACATGCATCTCCTCTGTATATGTGTGTGTGTGTGTGTGTGTGTGTATGCAGTGTACGAGTTGGTGCTGAACTGCGGTGTGGGCGGCTTCATACTCAATGCCGAAAGAACATGTACATCAGGAGCGCTCCGACTGGTTGCACCAAGTGTTGACTGACTTGTATGGTTGCCTGTGTGTCTCCAGCTTTCTTCAGTGCCAATCGCGAAGGCATTCTGGGCAGTATCGGTGAGTGAGGAATACACGACACAGGCTACGCGCGCCGACTTTACTCTCGGATCGACGTGCGCGTTTTGTGGTGCGGTGTGGTGTTGAGGTCTGTTGTCTCTGTTTCTGATTGGCGTCGGCCATGGGCGCATCCTCAAACCGGAAAGGTGCTCGGCCGACACACACGGAGATGTCTGTGCATACCTATCTGTCTGTGTGTTTGCGGTTCCTGTCGTCAGGGCGCCACCCACCCGCATCACGCTGACCAAGCTATTGGGGTACACACGCACCGCACGGGCACCGCACCACGCCACAGACGGTTTGTTCGTGTGAGAATGAGTGGTGCGTGTGTCCTCTGGTTCAGTTGGTGTGTGGTGACGTTTCTTTTGGTGGTCTACCTTGACAAGAGATGGGGGCTGATGCCGTCAAGGAGACTGGTCAGTAAGCAGCCCGTCGTACGCGGACGCTCGCACGCTCATTCATCCATCCATCCATACCTGTCTTCTTGTCTTCCAGAGCAACCTGCCCTTTGTGTTGTTGTGCGTGAGCCACCATTCCTGGCAGCTCGCATGCTGCCTCGCCGCTAACCTATTCATTGGTACGGCCACTGATCTACGAGTAGTCTATGTTGTGCTCTTTGCATGTATTGTGCAGGCAGTCGTCAGCGGATCTTCATTCTCGATGGCGTGCAGAAGAACATGCTGGCCATCTTTCTACTGGTCGGAACGCACTGCAGTCGGCGTGGCGCCGATCGTCCATGGCTTCTCTCTGTGTCGGTCAGGCGAATCAGCTGACGGGTATGGTGAATGTAACCATGCAGACGCTGCTGCAACCGCCGGCGACCGCATTCGCGATACTCGTGCTGTAAGCTGGCCAGGGGACCAGCCAACCAACCACAAACCCACAAACCAGCTGTGTGTGTCGTGCTCCGCTCAGTTACTGTATCGTGTGGAGCGGTGTGTCGTATGCTCTCGCGTGCCGCCACGTGGCACTCAAGTTTTGGTGATAGCGGATGGATGGGTTGATGCGTGCATGGCATTGAGTGAAGTGGCTGGTGCAGAAGTTGTTGCAACTAAAGAGAAGCGGAGTGTGCGGCGAGATTTTCGCGACGAGACGCGGAGACGCGAAACTGTCGATTTTAGTCTATTCCACAATTTTCAGTCGCTGTTCGCCTCCAGCCTTTGTTTCAGTCGCAGATCCTTCATTCCCTCGTCTTTCTGGCTGTCTGTTGGCTCATGTGGCCGGTCCGCTCCTCCTCTGCCCCTTCCTTCATGTACCGCCGTGCCCCCCGGGCCCGAGGCCTCAGCCGGTGACTTTTTGCCTTCTCCCGAGCGGCTGGCGACTACCGTCTGGAAAGTGTGCGCGTGTCTTCTCCTTTCTCGAGAAAACCTCTGTAAGGTTAGTACTACCATGTGTCATGATGGTGGGATGAATGCTGTACCTGTCGCCCATTGCTGACGTGGCTCCAACCGTAGCAACGCTGGCTGCCGCCCACCATCGGTGAGAATGACACGTGAAAGGCAGATGCACTCGAGTTCATATCTGCTGCTCCACTGGCCTTTCTGCAGTGTATCTGTGGCTCTTGCCCGACCTTCAGGTGCCGGCGGAGCTGGCAGAGTACAAACTGCCCAGGGACCACCACAACCCCAACACACACATACTGGGAGTAAGTGCGGACCGACACACACACAATGTGCAGTGCACGGCAGCATTCCGATCGGCCATGTAATGTTGATCCCTCTCCATGTCGCGCTTGCAGGCGGGGGCGTACGCCAGAGTGCTGCTACTACGCCACAAGACCATCAAATCCCCCATCGCATAGAAACAGAGCACAGAAACAGAGCCGTCCGAAATCCATTGGTGGGTGTTTGTTTCTGTCTGTGCAGATTGAAATAGAGCACTACACCAGCAGAGCCATGGTCAGCCAGCTGCAGCGCGAGGTGGAGGTACGGAGAGAAGGATGGGGCACACACGACACAACAGAGACAACACTCATGGGTCGGGCGGCATCACATGTGTCCGTGTGTATGTGTGCCTGTGCCGTCTGTCAACGTGTCAGTTGCACCGGCGGTGTGATCCCCGCAACATTGTCCGCCTGCACCGCTCCATCCGACACTGTGGACACATTTTCCTCCTCCTGGAATACGTACCGAAGGTACACTACGCAAGATGACATACATGATGAACACGTTGAGGGGGAAGAACATCTTCGTGAATGCAGGCGCTCGTAGTGTTGACGAGACGGTCCCAGGCCACCTGCATCGACATGTGGATGGGCAGTGGACCGAGAGGCAGTGGGGCGATGATGGTGCCTCCTCATCTCGTTCATCCCCCGTCCCACGTCGCCCCCCGGCTCGTGCCCCTCCCACCACCAGCCCTGCACCTGCCCCTCCCACTCCAGCACCCCTTCCCTCCCCCTCCCCTCGCAGCAGCACCACCCCGACACGCCCTGCCCTCACCTGCAGCAGCACCAACCCGCCACCCCTGGCCACCCTCACGAGCAGCAGCACCACCCCGACACTTCCCCCTGCCGCACCCCGCCATGGTGCCGCCGATGCGGCTCGTGAGGAGGGAGTAGTCCCTTGAGCCGAGCCGCAAGTAGAGGTTCAGTTGGCAGCTGTATCCATCGTCATCGACAGACAGCAGCGACGGGACGTCCACGCGCCACCCGGCGGTGACACCAGCTGCCTCTTGGGAGCTCTTCGTAGCATCCGAGGCCAGCTGAGGATAAAGCCAACATCCTTCGGCCTCTTCAGTATCTGCACGGCCCTGCAAGGCTCCCTCAATCGAGATTCAGTAGGCAGCTGTCATCAAGTACCATCGGCATCCCACTGGTCGGCAACGATAGCAGAGCGGCGACAAGACGGACGTCGACGCGCCGCCCTGGCGCCCACCTGAGGACGTACAGGCCACCTCAGGAGGCCAGCTGAGGATGGAGGTCACTTCCCTCCGCCTCTTCACCACCTGCACGACCCTCTTCGTGCTCGTAGTCGCCGTATATTGGACCTATGATCACTCGGTGGAGGTCCTTGGACAGCTCCTATGCATCCTGACGTTGCTGTGCCTGGGAGCCGTCGCCGGGTAAGAAATAAGCACCGCAGAAGCATGGATCTTGGCCCGTGATTCATAACTTGCTGTGTGGATTCGGGTGTGTCTGTTTCAGTGTTGTGAGGATGAAAGTCACGTCGTTGTAGCGAGCGTGTACTGGAGCTACGAGCTCTCGGTGGAGGTCCTTGGGCAGCCACTCGTATGCGACGTGACGGGACTGGGGTACGCAGACAGACAGGCCGGCAGGCAGGCAGGCAGGCAGGCGGGAAAGGGGAGATGGGAGATGGCTTCGGTGCCTGTCCATTCGTCCTTTAGTTTGCTTGGTTGGCCTTCTGTATGCCTCTCAGGTCCCAAAATCGCTGCCTCCATTTTATATCTGTCGGTATCGATTTCTCATGTCTCCGTACCTACGTCTGCTACATGCAGCGACCTTGGAGCATGATGGTACATGGTCGGACAGGTTGTTTGTCTCTTTGTTTGCCGTCTCAATCAACGTCTTTGCGATATCGATCATTGACGTGCACTGCCTCTGTCTGTCTGTCTGTCTGTCTGATTGCCCGGCGCGATCCTTGTCCGCTGCGATGCCTTTCACAAGGAACACCACAAGACATCATGCAACAAGACATCAGCAGCAAGACTAGTCTTTCACTTACAACGCCATGCAGACAGTACCCCCTGTACATATGGACACGGACACAACCCTCCCTCACTGTGGCACGCACCACAGCACCCAGATGTCCTCACACGATACCAAAGCCCCCCCACCCCCACACCCATCACCACCATCACTACCAGCGCGCATCAGCGCCGCCCGCAGCACATTGGATCGCCTTCGCGGGGCCGCCAGCCTCTCAGGCGCGTCGATGCGCCGCTCATCCGCCGGCAGGGGCACATCGGTGATGTCATAGATGTGACACATGTCGCCCAGCTGCTGGAAGAATTGCCCCACACACGGGTCTCGATAGCGGTAGCTGAGGAGGATGGCTGGGGGATGGCTGGTGTCAATGGCTCGTCGGAGTGTGGCGATTAGCGGCCCGTAGCTGTCGCTGTTGTACAAGACGTCACATAACATGATGAGCGAGAAGGGGCCGAACTCGTCACTGACGGCCGTCAGGGCCGCGTCGTCGCCCCACGGCAAAGGGCGGCCGCGAATGTCTGCCTTGCGATCAGACTCTGCACACAGATAAAACCGCACACTGGGCATGCCTTCGATCGCTACGTCTGTGTGCAATCCATCAATTACCTGCACCAAAGTTGAGAGTGAGGTTGGCCTCACAGATGGGCATCACGTCAGGTAGGTCAGTGCACACGACCATCGGCTGCCGCATCCCGCCACTGAGATAGTACGCGATGCCACCGACCCCCGTGCCGCTCCCAAGCTCCAGGCAAGCGTGCCTTCCAGCATCATGGTCATGCAGCAACCTTCTGTAGCCCTCTTGCCGCAAACACTCCGCCACCATCCATCCGGCATCCCACACCTTCCCCCCGAGCACCTCGTAAGCCGACTGCTCCAAAATGAGGGCTAGAGGGCCGATGGGTGATAGGTCGAGCAGCCGAGTGCCGCTGAAACCATCCCACGCATCAACAAGGGCATTACTCCCTCCTGCCGCCGTGTTGTTGGTCACCAGAGTGAATGGCAGCGATGCGGCCCTGAGAATGCCGCCGCCAGCCACGCACTTGGGATCCACCTGCACCACTAGGACGGCCGTGACGGACAGCACAGAAGACGGCCGCCTGCCCATGGACGGCATCATGTAGATGGCCACCTGCAGCGAGGCACTGCCGCTCTTCCTGACAAGGAGGTCTCTTGGGTTCTTGACAGCCACATGCAGCTGGCAGGGTGGGGCGGGGGATTGATGGCTGCCAGTGACTGGCGTCCATGGGATGGCCGTGAGCTGCAGGCCGACAGACTGCCTGCTGCTGCTGCTGCTGGATGGTGTGGATGATGAGTCAGAGGGCACCATTGCATGACTCATGCCCTGACAACCAAACGAGAACGGGAACACACACACATGCTCTTCTAGGCTACTATGGCCCCAATGGTCAGTTCAAGCGTACCAGCTCGTTCGCAAGATAGAGCTGCCACAGATAGACAAACAAACAGCAAAGGGCACTACACCATGATGCGATGAGTCAGACGACAGTGTCTTTCATGCTGCCACCATACCTCAGCAGCGAAGCATTCGCCGGCCTTGACGACCTTCGGTGGTCTGTTTTTGAAGTACAGCCTGAACAGCGTGTGCTGCACCTGACAGCTGACGTCGTACGATGCAGCATCCGAAGCCATATCGAGAATGCTGTCCCTTGTTCAGGGATGGATCGCCTTCGCCCAGCGCTCGCAAGATTTCACCGAGGGCTCTGGAGAGTTGGCGTTGCCTCGCGTTTGCTGTTGGCCATGCCGTGAGCAGTAGAGGTATGGGTGCGTCGGCAAGCGGCTGGCAGACAGCGGAAAGCGGTGGTGATGGTCCTTTTAGCGATGGGTGGGTGCCTGCTGCACCGGCAGCACCCGGCGATACCGCTCTCTACCCATTGCCGCCTGGACAGGTAAGGTTGGGAGAGAATCACTCACGTCTTTCACGAGGTAAGTCGCATTCATTTTGTGTGTGTATGAGTCGTGTATGTGTGTTCAGATGCAGTTGTTTGGCGTGCCTCAAATAGCCGTTCCGATGACCCATGACAGCGGACAGCAGCAGGTACACTGCACTGGACAGATGCCACCTTCGCACATCCATCGCTGTCTGTCTGTCCGTCTGTCTGTCTGTGCCATGAAGGGTGTTGCTGGACCGAACGCACAACTCTCTTGCGCCGCCCCACTCACTCAGTCGTGTGTTCTGTCCATCCGTCCATTGACTTCCTCAGGGAGGGAGGGCGGCAAGGAGTGGGGGAGCGAGAAGGAAGGCCCGCGTATTTCGTTGGACGAGTGGATGCCTATCCTAGCTGCCTGGGATGCTGTCTTGGGCAAGCGCCGCTGACCTATAGGTCAAGCAAGACACACACAGCGACAGAGGCAGATAGCCAACGGACGGCGGGCGTGTACATAGCTAGTTGAAGGGCGACGGGCAAATTACATAGATGCACAACAGACGGACATAGAGGAGGGAGGGAGGGAGGGAGAGATACACTCTGTCGTTCACCTGCCGACCTGACCGGTGAGCGGGCGGACCGGCCGGCATCGTGCTGTGATGCGTTGGTCTCTGAGGCGGCCGTATCTCCTTGCTGCGTCTGTCCATCCATGTGTTGATTGGTGACTCGTTCGTTGAGATGTTCGTTCATGGTGAGTGACATGACCATTGCATGAATGACGTAAGATTTATGTGCTGGTGGTCTGTGTCTCTCTGTACAGCTGGCTACTCACACACATACGACATGACATGAACGGGTCCCTCCCTGCAAGAGAACCGAACCCTCTCCCATCCTTGAAGTGAGTCGGGGAGGCGCTAATCTCCCCTGACGCCGTGTCACTGCCTGAATCTTCAGCAGCAACTGACATAGATTAGACAGACAGACAGACAGATGGAGGGAAGTGAGATGGACGGATGGATGCCATACATACACAACACATACAACACACGTGACTCACCCGCAGCAGCAGTAGCGGGGCTTGGCGACGGCGGGAGGGCCTGTGCTGGCCGGCAGGGCGACGGGCACCTGCAGGCTGGTGCCCTTCTCCGTGGCCTGCTTGACCTGCTCCAGCTCCAGCAGCTGCAGGGCGCGGACCAGCTGCTCTTCTAAGTCTGCGATGGTCCCCCGCTCGCTCTGTCTGCCTCTCAACCCCTTGGCCACGGCGCGTCCCACGATCTGCTGCCACTGGCTGAACCACTCGAGCCCCGGGCACGCTGTGAGGACTTCCTCGTAGGGCACGGGGCGCACGGGCTTGTTTTTGCGGCACTCGAGTGGTCGGCCGTCTTGGGTGATGATGGTGGCCGTGTAGTGGTCCCAGTCGGCCAGCAGCAGCTCCTCGGCCGCACGAGGCTCCTCAGCTGCCCCCAGCGCCTTGGCGTCCCTGATGGCGGTCCTCACCTTCAAGTCCGCCCTCATGACGACGCTCATGGCCTTGGCGATGCCGGCGACGATGGTCGGCTCCCCGAGCATGAGAGCTTCTGACTTGCGCTCCCCCACCAGCAGCCCCTCCGCCCTCAGCTGCCGCCGCGTTCTGTTGAAGCCGGCATTGATGCGGCCGGTGGCTCCCGCGGCCTCCTCGTCCGCCTCGTCGTCGACCGGCGGCCCCTTCATGGCCACCCAGAGCTCCGGCGACACGTGCCAGGGCGTGCAGCCCTCGGGATACTGCCCTTGGGCGGCTTGGGCGGCCTTGTCCAGGGGCAGCACGACGACGTGGGGGCCCAAGTAGGCAGGTGGTGGTGAGGGGAGGGAGGGGGTAGGGGTGGGGGTGAGGGTATTGGCCAGGTCCAACAGCACTGTGCCGGCGGCCGTGTCGGACTGCTGCAGGGCACTGCTGGGGCTCTCAAGGGCAGCCTTGGGTAGCATGACGTTGTTGTGAAAGTGGTCGATGCAGAGAGCGCGGCGCATGGCGAGTTTGTGGGTTTTGGCGGTGCACAGGAGGGCCTTGGTCAGCATGCTGACGCGCCTCAGCACCTTTCTCTCCTGCGGGTCGATGCTGCCCTTGTCCCTCCTCGCCTTGTCGGAATGCATCACCGTGTTGTTCAGCCAGCCCGACATATCGCCCAACTCGACAAACCGGTGCTCTTCACCAGCACCACCTACATATCAATCAGAAACACAAGGAGAAATGAGGACCTCGGGCATGTGCGCATCTGTGTGGGGTGTGGAAGCAAGCTCACCAGACACTACCGGCATGGCTATGCACAGGGCCGGGATGGCATCCCCTCTCGTGTTGGTGTAGGTGGCGGGCGACTGCGGGTCCACCTCAGCGGCGTAGAGGTTGACGAACGGAGGCTGGCCGCCGAATTGGCGCATGCGATCAGCCTCCACGCCCAGCACCTTCGCCACCATGGCTGCGTCGATGACCTCCTCGGCCCTTCCCTCTCCGTCACCACCCTGGCCGGCACCTCCCTCCCCTGGAACGCTCTCAGATGCTGCTGCCGCTTGAGCTCCTGCCGCATTCCTGGTCTCCTCCGACTCAGATCCTCCTCTCTGCTCTCCTCCTTCCTTCTATCATCCTCCTCGGGGTCCTCCTCGCTGCTGTCGTCCGACTCGCTGTCCTCGCCGAACTCGTCGTCGTCGGCGTCGGGCTGTAGCCGGGCTATCTTGAAGGCTACTTCGTCCCCACCGCTGCCGTCCTCGCGCGGCAAAACGCCCTTGAGGACGAGTGCCGTCCCGCCGCTGCCCAGCTCCGCCTGCTCCCTATCAAACACGATCGTGCGGGCCCTGGGTCCGCGGCCGATGACCAGCTTGGCTGACATATCGCACAGCTGGTTTTCCCTCTTCAACGGAAAGCTTCGCGAGTCTCGATCTGCGTGAAACCGCTGCTGCGAGGTCATTCTCGCGCGACGCCATTCTCGCCGCGGCGGGGATGAGTACACCACGATGCACTTATATGGGTGAGGCAAATCACCGAGGCACACACGATGTGGTGGACTGCCGTCTGTTGAATTCATATCCACACACGCACTTGCTCGGCGTTGGTGCGATGCACATGAACATGGACACACGTAGTACGTCCCTAAAGGCCAAAGCAACCGATGAGCGTGTCGTGTCAGGATCAACGCAAACATACAAATGGAGTGGAGGATCCGGAGGAGAAACATGACTACAGCCAGCCCATCGAGTGCCATCATTGCACATGCGTACGGTACACGCCTACACACACATATATACACACACGTGACATAGTACACACACACACACGAAACGTGCCAGCACATTTATGGGCGACGCGGCTTGCTTTTGACAAAAAGTACGAAACACGTAAGGCTGACTGTGCATGTATGTGTGGATGCACACATGCATGGGATCCATATACACATCACTACACGTCCCTTACCAGTGGCAGGACGGGTGCAGGCACGCTCAGAAGAGCCTCAGCGCTCAGCCTCCCCTTCTCTGCCGCCTCCTGCGCCACCGGTGCTGCAGGGCGGCACTGCCCGCCGCTGAAACAAAAATTGTCTCGACAGAGACACCTGCCCCTTTGGCATGACACGTTGCTGCCATAGCCCCAGCAGGGCAGCAGGAAGCACGTGCCACGGGTATCGTAGCTGCACGTCTCCTGGCTCTCGTTGCTATCAGTCACGGGGCTCGGCACCACCCTCTGCAGCTCCGCGAACATCGTCACGTAGTTCCGGAGGTAGTGCTGACAGAGAAACCGGTAACACACACAGATAGACGGACAGACAGCATGCACAGCCATCAATCTTTCTCAGCCGTGCCGCACACCTGCCAAGGATTCCAGATGCCTTGAAGCAGCAGGAGGGATCTCCGGTCATCGCTGGCAGACGAAGAGGGGAGGCCTTCGGCCGCCAGCCGCCTTGCGCACATGTCGCCCCCTGCTGTCTCATAGTTGGCCCGATTGGTGACGCCTCTCTCTAGGTCGACGATTCTCTCCAAGTGCCGCAGGGAGGACGAGAACAGCCGGGGGACGGGGTCGCTGCCCGCCCAGAAGGAGGAATACTGGAAGTGCACGCCATTGCTGTGACAAGGGGGCGATTCATCTTGGTCAGTGTGCTCAGGAGGGAAGGATCGGTGGGTGACGACAGGTGGAGCGCCGAAGGTGATGAGCTGACACGGACAGACACACGCGGTCGAGCATGTGCGTGGGGTATTGGTTGTGGTGTTCCGCCCTCCGTCCTTACTGTGGCCTTATCGCTCCAGGGTCCGTATTGCTGCAGGTGAAAGAGCGACGCCAGCGCACCCCCGAGTGAGAAGCCCGTGAAGTAGATGCCCATAGAGCAAACACTGCTGTTCCGCATGACGTCCCAGACCTCCCATTCGGGGCTCTCCATCAACGACTGCATACATGATGATGGAGAAATATCCATTCATGGCGATGCCCATGCCGGGCCTGACACCGAACGTTCACGTACCATGGCTTCTTCGTAAAAGCCCGCGTGCACCTCGTATCTGCACGACAGCGCACGAGAATGGATGGATGGATGGATGGATGCCGACAATCGGATCCGCTTTGCTTACGTGTTGCCTTGTGGGTCTGTGACGGGCTCGTATGGCTCAATGTGATACGAGTTGAACAGGTCCTGATGGTCGTTGCTCCCCTGTGTGCAGACACGCCCATCAACCCGTGCTAATCAGAGCACCTAGACATCCACTCTCTCCCCTGTCTGTCCACCCACCACGAATGAGATGGCACACTCCGCTTCGTCCCACGTCTCGTCGTCGAGCTCAATCCTCAAGGCGTCCCAGCCCCGCGATTCTGGTGCTTCAAACTCGTCCGGGGACTGGAAGAATGCGTCCACCAGACGGCCCTTCGGGTACATGCGGGAGTAGGGGGGCTCGGGGGTGGGTGCACGGGATGGCTTGGGCGAGGGCTTCACCCATACAATGGCCGCATCGCCCTTGGACACGATTGGGAGAGCCAGGTGCCACTCCTGCCAAGCGACGGATCGGCAAGAGGGGTGTGGCGAGTTCCAGAGACGGGGAGAGCTTCCTGCCTTCGGCTTACTTGTGCGTAGTCCTCGGCTGTAGTGTCTTCATACGACGCTGCTGTCAAACAGCCCATCTGGAGGGCCAAAGACTGACACACAAACGATGGCAGCAGCAGAGGCAGGCCTCTTCTTCTGGTCACATCAAGAGTGAGTCGGTCGTCGTTCCCACCTGCTGTTTGTTTGTCTTCTTGCACACCTCCTCTGACGGTGCGAGGCGCCGCAAGGGCGACGCTGCTGCAGCCGAGAGGACAGCCAGGGCGGCGACCATGGTCGTGAGGAGGACCGCCATGGTTCGCTGATGCGACACGACAAATACAGAGCGATGCACCTTCCTGCCTTTTGGCCGCGACAAGCCTCTAATTAGCGAATGCGATGCTCGCAGAAAGCGACCGACAAAAAGACTCCTCCACTTGTACGCTGTGCCGATGCGTTAACGGCAGATCGGCCAGGTTGGCCAGGCTGTTTGTTGCGATTAGCCAGACAGCCACTGCAATCCATTCAGCGCCTCGTTCCCTCATGGAATCCGGATATGGCCAGGCTTGCGGTGATGGGACACACAACAGGGTACATGGACAGACCACTGCAATTCATTCAGTGTCTCGTTCCCCCATGCATCCAGCCAGTCAATTCTTACCCAAGACATACGATCAGCAGCCACGCCACGCCATGCACACGCAGAAACGAAACTCGCTCAAATGTGCGGCCCGGGGCTTTTCCCGAGAACCGCAAGCAACCACCTTTCAGCCACACACAACAGGCAGACGGGCAGGCAGACAGACAGACAGGCACGGACGTACGCACGGACACAGAGAGAGACGAGCAAAACCGGCCACACATGCTGACACATCAACAGCATACTTTGCGCAGACCGATAGACAGACAGACAGACAGACAGACAGGCAGACGAGAGAAGACAGAGCGGCTGGACGCGTGACGTGACATGACGTGACGTAATGCGACGACCTATCCTATCGGTCAGAGCACCTCTCTCTCCCAGTGGCCGTTGACGTACAGGCGAGACCCCTGGGAGGGCGAGTGGGAGCCGCTGAGAGCGGTGATGGCGCACTTCCACACCCACTGGTTGACCCACTGCCGCCTGTTGCCCTTGCTGTCGTACTTGTGCTCCACCTGGAACGTCTTGAGGGGCCGCAGCTCCACCTCCACACGACCCTCGCTCACACGCACCACCGAGTACCTCGCCGCCATGACACCCGAGATGTCCATACCTGCACACGGGCGTCACACAGACGGATCAATTTCGCGTCAGCGGTTTCCCCATTCCTCTCTTGTGTTCTGGGCTACACCGACCGTTCATGTGGTAACGCGTGAGCAGTGCGTCGCCCCCTCCGCAGACGTCCCCCTTGGCCTCGGCCTCCTGCTCCCGCATGGTGGTCGTGGTGCACTGCAGCAGGTTGTCCACGGCGTAGGCGTGGTCCAGGCAGGATTGGACGTCCGCCCTCTTCTGCGCAGTCTTGACGAGCGACGAGGCTGGCGAGAGGGGCAGGCCGCCGCCCACGTCGCCGCCCGCATGGTTGGTCTGGCTGGGCGATGGCGGGAAGAACCCCGCCGCGCCCTCCGGCCCGCTCATGCCGTCGTCGTCTTCGTCAATAACGTCATTCTCATTGCAGTCGTATGTGATGGGGATGCCGGGCGAGAGGGGGATGGACAGCATGGGGTGCGGGGGACACCTGTGGGTGAAGTTGGCTGGCATCGAGAAGAACTCCACGCCGAAAGCCGCCCTGCCCTTGACCGCGGTGCCGATCTTGAGACGGAAGAGGTCAGGGAATGGCGGGCCGAAGTGGATGTACGTGCGGCTGTGTGGGGGCGAGAGAGGGGACGGGTCGAGGGCCTCGACGCGCTCCAGCTCAAACAGGTCGTTGTAGCGGTACAAAACCTCACTTCGCTGCTTCATCATTCCTGACATGCACACAAGGGAGAGCGCTTTCGGTGCATATCTTTTTGTCCGTTCCATCCGCCCTCCTCACCTTCATGTTGTGGCGTCCATCGGTGCAGCAGTGGGCTGAGGGAGTAGCCCACCTTGAGGCTCCACTCGTTATCCACCAAGCGATCGTAGCATTGCACCTGGCACCGCCGGCCGCCCACACTCACCGACACCTCCTTGGCACGCTCACTCACCAGCCGGGCACGGCCCCAGAAGTAGAGTGGGAAACCCGCCCTCGCGCCCCCGTCCGACTCCTTGTCACCCAGCTCGCTCGTCAGGCCACCAAACGGGTTGACCATGTCGCCCAGAGTGACGGGATGGCTCTCATTGACCACCAACTCGATCAAGTCGCCGTCGCCCAGCAGCAGGCCGGCTCCCTTGCTATCCGTGTGGCTGACGGAGGTCAGCACCGACTTGCGGTCGTCGACGTCGCTGTCCCCAACGTTCTTGTCGAGGCGCATCGAGAAGGAAAACGAGATACCGAGTGGCGGCGTGTAGTCCCACCGGATGCGCATGGCCTTGTCCACGGGGGTGACGGGTGCGTCTGACCAGTCCACGATTAGGTCCTGCATGTCGAAGCCTTCAGACTTGTACACGAGGGGCAGTGTGAAGGGTGCCGCGACGGGTGATGTGTTGGGGCTGGGGTCACTGAGCGATGAGGAAGTCGACCAGTGGGAGAGCGTGGGAGGCTTGCTTGAGGGAAGGGTGGGCTGCACAAACACACAGACACGCCACGCCCGTTGAAACACACACCCCTAATGCGTGCCTAGGGGATTGTCACGTCTGCCCTCACGTAAAGGATGACGATGTGTCCGCGGCCCTGCGAGGTCTCATACTCGCGAATCTCGATCGCACGGTAGCGCGAGTGGCTGCACACAGCAACACACAAAAACACACGAATGGCGTGCCAAGTCACGGACGCATTTCCCTCTTCCCCTCTTCCCCTCGCCCCTCAACTCACGTGAATTCAGCAACGAGGCAGAACTTGATTTGCTCAAAGGCAGCCGCGAAGATGAAGCACCTGGGGGTGGCCTCGTCCCTCCTTTGACGCAGCGAGGCCTGGCTCTTCAGCCGCCTATCCCTGTTCTGGTCGGTGTCCCCCCGCCCCTCAAGCTGTTCCTCTTCGTTGATTTCATACTCGTAGGCGCCCTCCTCGTGCCGGCTGGAGGCGAATGCCGCATCGTCGATGACGTTGGGGTCGACGATAAGCGACACGCAGGCGTGGCAAGAGAGGGAACGCCAAAGAGCCCTGCTTGCGGCCTCGTTCCTTGAACACACACCCCCCATGGATGACGCTGCGTGTCGAGTCCGGAGGCGGCAGTCACTTGGTTCTCGCGAATTCAGCTCGTGTTTCGGTTCGCCTATCGCGTCCGCGCCTCTGCCCACCACAAAACGCCGATTGTGGCCTCCCTCAAGCCCTTTCTGAGTCAAGGCTCGCCCCGGGGGCTGGCGAGCTCGCCCCCAGTCTTCTTCTCCCTTCCCCTTTTTCTTTTCGATGAAGGTGCTGGTGCCCAACTACACCATTTATGGCCACACGCACGCCCGTGTGCCGCTCAAGGACAAGGGGGCAGTGCTCAGCGAGAAGCCGAAGGAGGAATGGACGAGGCAGCCTGCCATTGCAACGAGGACGCAGCTGCTAGAGAAAAGACGAGCCGAGACGATTCCCCACCCTTCGTTTGACATAGGTATGGATGGAAAAGCAGGAGGGAAAAAAAGGACATTATGATCTGTCGGATGTGCTGCAGACCGCGATGGCGGGGTGTCCGGCAAGGATTTCTTCATTGCAAAGTGCTTTGACGCCGACAGAGATGGCGTGCTTAACGAGCAGGAGATGCAGACCTGCAAACAGGCTCTCAATGACGTAGGTTTTAGGGCCTGTATCGCTCTCTCATGCCCTACATGTGAGATTCATGGCTCTCACTTGTGTGCAGGGTTGGCTGTCCAAGTATCAGTTCGGATGGGACAAGATGGGCAGTTCGCGGCCCTACCCTGTGTTCCAGCGGCAGGGCGTGGTGCAATCCTTAGGCGAGCTCCCCGACGGCAAAGACACCGACCCACTCGGTGAGGTCGGACAACTATGCAAGCTGAATGAAGAAGGTGCGGGCGGGTGTTTCCCTTGTTCCCCTTTAGCCTCTTTCCCGCCCCATCCGCTGTCCGAGAAGACTCCTCGCCATGCGACCAGGGGCGACCTCATTCGCCAGCGAAAGGTGCCTGTTCATTTTGTCCTTGGGAGTCTTGGTGTCTGTGTGGGTGTGCATATGGGTGTGTGCAGGCCGAGATGCAGCAGACAGCTGAGGCACGAGCAATCAAGTGGGAGCAGGAGCACCCTCCCCTCGTCCCGCAGCCGCCGGCACAGCAGTCCGATCTCAAACAGGAGCCAACGTGAGTTGATCTTCAGCTTTGCGAGTTTAATGTTCATCTTTGCTGTCCATCAGGGGTGTCAATCCTCGTCAGCGCCTCAACGCTGAGAAGCTATCGTTCCGACCCAGATTCGGTCAGATAGAGAGAAAAGTCTTCAACCACTGGTGGGCACGTGTGTCCATATCCTTCTTCTCCTCCTGTCAGGTCTCTCGCAGCTGCCGGCCCCACTTGACCCTCAGAGGGAGGCTGAGAAGGAACGCCTCGAATGCACAAGTGAGACAGTGGGAGATATCAAGAGCTCAATGGTGACCTTCACGTTCCCGCCTGCATCTTTGCTGCCGCTGCTGCAGCATCCACTATCCCTGCCGCTGGGCGCACGCGCACCGAATGCCTGGAGGAGCGACGCACGCAAATGAGGAGACAGATCGAAGGTGCAACACGCACCGGCAGTCGCATGCGATCGATCGCCTGTGTCTGTGCAGAGGCGACAAGGGCTCACGAGGCAGCACTGGAACTTATTCCCGCAGGAGGCGGAGTAAAGCAGGCGCTGGGATACTCCCCACCGCCACCCAAAGAGAAGACCAGGAGCAAGCTTAAAGTGAGACACCAACAGACAGCAACGTTCACACACTTCGTCTACTCGCTGCGTTTCAGGAGCAGCAGAAGTGCGAGCAGCTAGCCTACAACGAGGCCCACTTCAGGCCTCAGGCGAGAGAGATCCCCGGCTTCACTACATCACAAAACCCATGGTGGCGTCCGGCCTCATCCCCCAAGCCACCTCTACAGGAAGAGCCTGCGCCTCCTGCAGCAGCCGAGGAGCCTTCCCCTCCCTCCCCCCTCTTCAAGCCACAGCCCTTCCAGCTGGCCATCGAAGGCGCGCCGATCGAGCCGCTGGCAGGGGGGGATGAGAGCCCTGCAGCCGGCAAGAGACCGTCGCGTCTGGAGCCTCACGAGGTGCACATGAAACTCAAGAGCAGCAAGGCGGCCCCCAAGAGGGCGCGGAAGAGATGGACGTCAGACCTCATTGAGCATGCGAACATGAAGAATGGGCCGCGGCTATTTGATGCGATCGTCAACAAGAAGGCGACGGTGAGAGGGGAAGGCGAGACGCGCAGACCCAGACAGGCAGGTAGATTTGTATGGGTTTGGTGTACAGACGTTTTACTCCGATGTGAAGCCTACCTACAGCTCCTTCTCCATTGGTCCCCGGAAAACTCCTGGTGTGTGATGAGACAGAAAAATGGCAGCGACAACGACCTCTGGTTTTCCCACAGGCCGTCTGGTGGGAGCTGGCGGTGCCCTCGCCCTCACGTCGGCCGCAATGGACGTGGAAAAGGAGGCAAGACGGTCCAAGCATGCACTGTGTAAGCGCCGGGAGAAGACACACCGCAAGGGAGACACGGTTTCGCTTTCTGTCTGATGTCAGTGACCGAGGAGGACCAGAAAGGACACAGGTAAGCCCCTCGGTCTCCAAAGACATGGGAATATTCCGTCTGTCTTGACGCGTGAATGTAGGGGTCTGCCGGTGACTTCGATTGATGAGATTGCCGATGAGTTGGACGGGACACTCAGATACCTCAGGAAGACACCAGGTAGGCTTTGCGCAGCAAAAGACAGAGTTTGTCGACTTGCACGTTCCTCAGGATTCAACATGCGCCCGTCGATCAGCTTCAAGAACATCACACCGTCAGGCTCAAAGCCAGCATTCGCCGACCACGGTGCGCCAGAGGTCGGTTTCACAAGCCCCAGGAGCCGGCTGCAACATGAACTCATACGGCCAGGTGAAAGAGAGACACAAAGTACATGTCTCCTTGCCAGCACATGTATGTCCCGGTACGTTTGGTGTCTTCGCAGAGGAGCTCTCCCCCACTGCTGGGGTGACGGAGGTTCAGTTCCAGTTTCCGAAAATCGACCTGGCCAAGATTCGTGACGCCCCGCCTGCAGGAATAGACCTGCCTTTGCACGAGAAGCTGGCCATCAAGACCAGCCGCACACTGGGCGGCAGCGTCACTGAGCGGCTCTCAAGTCCTGGCAGCAGATACGAGAAGAGACCAGCCTCGCAGGTCGGTGAACGGTCTACGTGGTGGTCGATGTTGTGTGTTCATGTGTGTCTGTTGCGTGCAGGGCAGCAGCGGTGCGTCTCGTGCATCCAAGGCATCGCGCGGCCGGCGGTCGGGCTCTCGGCACGGCAGCAGGATCAGCAGCAAAATGAGTGCGTTCAAGGGCACTGACACGGTGCGATCGGGAGGCTTCCAGAGATATGAGCAGCTGCTGGGCGGGTAAGCAAGCCTATCGCGTATGCACCGCTGAGTATTGGTGGCTCCCGTGGTTGCCTGTAGGTCTGTTGGTTTCGGCCCAGCAAGACGATGAGACACGACATGACACCCTGCATCAATGCTGCCGTCTGTTCAGTAGCTGATCTGTAGCCAATGCAAGTTTAAATTTCATGCTCTTCACATCTTTATAATCTCCATCCACACGGCGTCACATACATCCGTCAAGCATTAAGACACACTGTGTCTCATCCAGTTGTATAACCACAGCCATAGAATATAAAATGTAGGCGGCGATTTGAAAGCAGCAACCCCGGCAGGCCATCCAGACAGCCAGACAGACATTCCACCTGTCGGGCTCTGAGCTGCCTGTGTGAGCAGGGACGCGCTTACCACGCAGTCAGTCAGTCAGTAGTAAGTCGGTCGACATGACATGGACGGATGCACACGACACATGCATGGCATGGCATGGCGTTACGCTCACGCCTCTCCACGCAGCTCATCTCACGCATCGCATCAAAGGTCAGTTTGGAAGAAGAGAGCAAAGAGAGCTAACAAAAGGCAGACACCCCTGCCTACACCCCCCGGCAGGCCCCTGTTTTACACCACTCATTTGGCCACCCATCCACCCACCACCAGCCCGTAGATCCCTCGCCCCCGACAGACAAGAAGCACCACCACCCACACCACTCGGATGGTCAACGACATTAAAGCCGACGCACATAAGCAAACAGACGGGGAGAGGACAGCCACACACCACACCCAGGCACAAAAAAAAGTATCGTCACGCACCATACGGAGGGACAAAAAGAATAGGCCGAGTAGGGCTGATGACTCAAAAGCAATACAATACACTAATTAAGTACCATACATCCATACCATAGATAGACAAAAACAAGAAACAGCCATCCTCTCCCCTCTGTCTATGTGGTGTGGGTGGTGGGTGGGGTGCTTCTCGTCGGCCCTTCTCTACGACCGCCTCGCGCTTGCGCTGCTGTAGGTGCATGGTCGTCACGTCGGGCCTGGTGGATCGTTGGTGAGCTTAAGAGGGTGGGGGGGTCCTGCTGCGGAGATGATGGTGCTGCTGCTGCTTGCCGCCCTTGGTCGGCTCATGTGGTTGCTGGGTCGCTCTGGGCGTCAGCGTGAGAGGCCGTAGCAGGTGGAGCCCGATCAGCTCTCTTGCACGACGGGGCCGCACCGGTACCGCCGGGATGGAGATGTCCCTTGGCCTGCCAATCGATAGACACACAGATAGCTATGTAGGTGTTGGACATGTAATGTATGGCCTTCCTTCCTGCCCTGCCTTGCCTTGCTTTCTGGTATGATGGCGTGTCGAGGTGAGGCCCGCCCTTGGGGCGAGTGGGCTTCCATCACGTGAGGAGAGCGTCTGGGCTCCATAGTAGTGCCTCCATCACGGCTACACGAACCAGTCCGTTCATCCTCCCTCCCTCCCTCCTTCCCTCCCTCCCTCCCTCCCTCGTCCCGCCCTCCGTTGTTTCCATATGTGCACTGCTCGTCTCTCTTACCTATCGGCCCAGCAGCTCTACTCACGCCATCTACTTCTTGTTTCCGTAGTAAGGCTTGTTGTTGTCTCGCGGCGGGAGGGGCGCCGGAGGCCCCGGAGGCGAGGGGGCTCGTTCCTGCCGTCGGAGGATGATGGGCGGATGTCATGAGACCAGATGGGCGGCCCCGCTTCGCGCCGATGCAGAGAAGGGGGACGGCCTCTGTACCACCCCCGGACCTGCACACACAAAGATGGGCAGTCAGTCCTTTCATTCCTGTACTTGTCATCGTCTTTGTCCTTCCTTGAGTCAACCTGGTGGTCCCGCCGTGCTGCTCCGAGAGCTGCCCGGCCCCATCAACGTCGGCAGGCCACCGCTGGGGTGGGCGCCTACGCACACGACGGAATAGCGAGATAGATGAGATGCTCTCATGTACCTCTCCCTCACTGTGTCCTCTCTGGTTCATACCTGCAGCATGTGGTGCCGTGCTGTGTATCTCAAACCACTCGTTCTTGCTGCGGTGGGGGGCATGAATGGCTTCCGATTGGGCTGGCGGCTGCTGCTACTGCTGCTGCTATTGAAGTCCTCTCGACTGACCTGACAGACCGACAGCCCACACACAAACACGACGATGATGGACAGATGACGCGCAGTAAGGTACGCCTGTGTCCTTTGCTCGCCTGTGGTGCTGCACTCTCACGCACCTCTCCCTCAGTGTGTCCTGATACTTACCTGGCGCAGCTGCTGGTGGTGGTGGTGGTGGCGGTATTGCCGGCTATCTCCAAACGCCGCAAGTGCCGTTCGCTCCCAAACAGGGCAAACAGACTACCGAGACATCGAAATATAAAATGTAGGCGGCGATTGATCAACAGCCATCTGCACACACACATATGAATACATGTGTACAGACGGACGGAACACGGGCGCTGTGTCTGCGTGCGTACCTGAAGCTCCCTGGTGCACGAAGGCGGCGAGGGGGGCCGAATGCTGACGCTCCGGATGCTCACGCTCACGCTCGCGGCTCTCCGTCTCTTGTTGCTGTTGCTGGCGGGTGGTGCTGCTGGCAGTGGCATCCTTGGCCTCCCTCATCTGCAAAACGGGACCGCACAGCGCAGCAGAGAGTGTCAGGTGTTGCGTGTGTGGGTAGATGTGCGTCTGACGTACCTCTCTCTCTCAGGTCCTCCTTGAATTTGACCAACATGATGCCAACGTCCCTCCCCTCCTGAGTGCCGCGCAGCGAGCCCATCCACTGGGCGAACTCCTGCAGTGAGAGAACAAAACGAATGAATGTCGTCGATGCCCCTGAGCCATTGCGCAATGCTGCATGCGCCTCCCTGCCCTCCTCACCTCACGGTGGTCCTTTTTGATCCGAAGGACCTTCTTGGTGAAGGCGCGGCGGTCATCGGCATACACATCGGGCACGTCAAAACCCCTACTCAAGAGTTTTTGCCTAACGGCAGTGGCGTCTGGGCGCATGGTGGGGTCGCTGGTGGCCGCTGCTGGGGCGGGGGTCTGTGTGGGCTGCTGGTGACTGGGTGGTCTGCTGCTGGCTGGTGTGCTGTTGGTGGGTGGGGCTGAGCTTCTTGGCAGCGGCCTTGGCAGCTTTCTTCTGCAAAATGGTACCGCACAGCACAGCGCAGAGTATCACGTGTTGGCGTGTCTAGCTAGATGTGCGCATGATGTTGGTACCTTCTGCAGGTGCTCAATGTACTCGTCTTGCCTCACGCAAAACTCCCGCCCCTCCTGAGTGCCGCGCATGGACTCCATCCACTGAGCGAACTCCTGCAGTGAGGAAACAAACAAATGAATGTCGTCGATGCCCCTGAGCTATTGCGCAATGCTGCATGCGCCTCCCTGCCCTCCTCACCTTCGGGTGGTCCTGCTCGAACCGAAGGACCTTCTTGGTGAAGGCGCGGCGGTCATCGGCATACACATCGGGCAACTCAAGAGTTGGCCACTGGTTCCCCCCAGTTGTCCACCAACACCTCCTGCACATAATAGCCCGGACCGGGCTGCGCGGCTTCGGTGCCTCCGTCTGTGGGGGGGAGGGGTGGGGGGAGGCGGTGGTATGGCTGCGGCATGGTGATGGTGGGGCCACACATGGTGGGTGGGGTCCTGTGTGGCCTAACGGCAGTGGCGTCTGGTGTGGCCTGCTGCTGCGTGTGCTGCTGCTGCTGCTGGCGGGTGGTGCTGGCAGTGGCATCCTTGGCGGCCTTGGCGGCCTTCTGCAAAACGGCACGGCACAGCACAGCACAGCACAGCGTGTCAGGTGCTGGGTGTGTGGCTGGATGTGCGCCTGATGTTGGTACCCTCTCATGTCGCTGAAGGTTCTCGAGTTGCGTCACGCCAACATCCCGCCCGTCCTGAGTGCGGCGCAGCGAGCCCATCCACTGGGCGTACTCCTGCAGTGAGAGAACAAAACGAATGAATGTCGTCGATGCCCCTGGTGCCATTGCGCAATAGCGCATGCGCCCCTCTGCCCTCCTCACCTCACGGTGGTCCTTTTTGAACCGAAGGAAGTTCTCCGTGAACGCGAGGCGCTCGTCACTGTATATGTTCGGCACAGCAATTCCCCTATTCAAGAGTGTTTGCCTTATGGCGGCAGCGGCGGCTGTGCGTGTGGCCATCGTCTTTGCTCTCTCTCCTTCTCTTTCTCCTTCTCCTTCACAATTGCGCCCCACCTGCTGCCGCTGTGGTGGGCGCAGGTGGGGTTGGGCGGTGGGATGAGAAGGGGCAGCCGGCTGCTGCCTCGGTCACTGGCACGGTCACTGCGCTGCGGACCCTTCTCAGCAGCAGCGGCGGCGAGACGGTAGGCCAGCCGGCCGCAGAACGAAACGCATTGGGTGCTGGTAGTGGCGTCGTTTGGCTTGGTGCGTCGTCTGTCGGTGGGGGGGAGGGGGATTGGGATGGGCTCGCGTGGGTTGGGGAGGGTGTGCGCCTGCTGCAGGAGAGAGGGGGGGAGATAGTGGTACAGCCGAATCGCTTGCTGCAAGAACCACAGGCGAGAAAGAAAGACTGTTTGCATGCCTCACAGACGGCCTGATGGTGAGCTGACCTGTCTGAGTACGGCTGCATACTCGCTGAATGGATGGCTTGGTAGCCGCACTCTTCAAGATACCCTTCAAACCCGTTGACCCCCTGGTTGACGCATCCGCAGCCGACGATTCATTTTGCTGCATTGTTCCCGAACTCCGCCCCTCACCACCGCCCTCCCCGCCTCCATGCAGCAGCAGGCGGCCGTGGGCGGCGTCCACGTCACCACCCACAAGCCGCCCTGCCGCTCCCAGTGGCCCAGGTCCCACTGGGTGAGGGCGCTGGCATAATAGCCATCGGCGCCATCACCCCATTCCTTAGCCCTCACGAGCACCTTCTTGGTGCTGCCAGCAGGGCTGCCGGCAGGCTGCTGCTGGTGCTGGTTGTGGTGGGCGGTGGAGGTCTTGGCAGCTTCCTTCTGCAGAACGGCGGATTGCCCAGAGAGCACAGCACAGCACAGCACAGTTCAGAGCCTCAAGTATTGTGTGACCGGATTGATGTGCGCATGATGTAGGCACGTACCTTCTCCATGTCATCTTTGTATTTGTTGATCATAATCTTCATGTCCTGCCCCTCCAGCGTCCCCCGGACCGACTCAAGGAAGGCCTTGCACTCCTGCAGTACGTGCGCAAACAAGAATTGTTGATGTTCTTGCCTGCCAGTGTACCGGTGTGTCTGACATCCTTGCTCACTGTTGGGTGCTCGCGCTTGATGCGCTGATACGTACCTGGACACGAAAACCCCCCTGGAGTCGGCGTAGACGTCGGGGACGTCAATCCCATTACTCATGAGGTTCTGCCTTATGGCAGCGGCGGCAGGCGTGCGAGCGGGCATTTTTTCCTCTCTCTCTCTCTCTCTCTCCGATCTCAGGATCGGGATAATGGCGTACGACGCGCTTCTCATTTAGGGGCCTGCACACATACGCAGCTCACGAACAGTTGCGCATACCTATGTGGGCGAGCCGCGGTAGCGGCTATCGTCTGACGCCACTGGCATGGTGGCTACTCCGCTTTCTTCACAACCGCGGCGACGAGCAGCCGTACAGAGACAGAGAGATAGAACAATATGTTGCTCTCTTTCTCCCTCCCCCTCCTCTCTATGTTTACCTTTTCTTCTTGGCCGTTCTGGTGCGGGGCAGGGGGCAATCGATCCCAACCAATATAAAATGAAGGCAGCGATTCTCGAGGCCTGACACACACGCACAGAGATGAAGGGATGCCTGTCAGTCAGTGTCGTGCGTGCGGTAGGCACCTCTCGTTCGAGCGCAGCGATCTCACCTGGACGAAGTGGCTGATGGTCACCGACTGGAGCTGCCTGCCCACATCACTGCCAATGATGACCGCCCGAAGCACGGCCGTCGCCGCAGCGGGGTAGACCCTCTCATCAGGGTCCAGCACAAACGACCCGAAAGTCGACTGCGCCCACGGCGACTCACGGATGACCGTCCAAGGGTCATAACCCATCTCCATTGTTGTCGAGCAGTCGAGGGAAGCTCTCCACGACAGTCTCCACCTGCTGCTCGCACTTGATGCGCGTCCGTCGGTCATTCATCCGGAAGTTCAACAGCGCCACTCGGTGGCATTTGCTTAAGATCTGCTGCAGCAGGGGCGATGGGTGTCGGTCGCACTTGACGGGCAGATTGAGTGCTGAGGCCTTGAGGAGTGGCACGCGGGACCAGATGGCGCCTGTAGCTTCTTCTTGGCGGCCTGGATGGGATGGCAGCATACACACAAATGAATGTGGATGGATGGATGGATGGATCGACGTACGGGGCGCCAGCGTCTTGTGTGTGAAGGTCTGTCTGCTTTGCTTACTTCTCGCTGCACTACCATCTCCGCGAGTCTCGTCTGCACACATCAATCAATGCACAATGCGCAGATGGACATATCGCATCGCGTGCAGAGAGAGAGCATCGAGCGACATAGGTGTACTTTTTGTGCATGGTCGCACCTGTCTCTGCTCGAGTTTGATGATGCTGGCCCTCGCATGGTCGAGCGCCTCACTCAACTCCCTCGACTCCCCTGCACGCACACAGACACACAGACACCATTGTGGATCTCGTTCATTGTCCCCACTGTTGCTGCCTGAAGACTCACTTTTGAATAGTGGTGCTCTTTGACGAAACTCTCCAGCCGCCATCTCGGCACCTCTATCAGTTCTGCATCGTAAACCGAAACGGACATGGAAAGAGCCGTGCACACGCACCGTACCCAGCACTCGTGCGTGCTGACTAACGGGCATTCCCTTGTGACTTACGGCGCGCCTCCTCTGCAATTTGAGCTTTCGAACGCGGCGGCAGTGTCAGCGGCGGACGCCATCATGAGGTTGAGCGGCGGCGCCTCTCTATCTGCTCTCGTCGCCGCTGCTGGTGCAACTGCTGCTGCTGGTGCCGGCGAGGGCATTCTCAACTCGGGCGGCGGCATGGCGGCAACTTTCTACGTGTTTCTCTTCTCGCCAGGATCTCGTTTGCAGCAATGCATCAGCATGCTCAGGCGGCCTCAGTGCATTCCCATCAGCGGCAGGGTTGTGCTGACGCCGACACGCACATCAGTATGTGTACATGGGCAGCTCGCCCCTCATGATACTCAACGCCTGCAGCACACCACAGCACACACACAGACATCTCGTGTGGCTGTTCCACACATATACACAAGGGCGTCTATGTCCGTACCAGCAGCCTCCGCGCCCTTGTGATGAGGACGGCCTGATCGAGGTCGCGCTGTCCGGTCGCATAGATGGCGTATGACCCGCTCCTCTCGCAGTTTATTTCCTTCAGCGGCCTGCACATACGCAGCAACAGGTGGATACGCGGACAAAGTGCGCATACCTCAGTGTTCGTGAGCCTTCTGTGCTTACGTATTGGTGAGGATACGGAAGGCAAAGAGCAGCATGAACACCCCGCAGTCGCAGCTGTGGGTCTGCTGCGGCAGCTGCGCCTGCATCAAGTAGATAGATAGATAGGTGTGCGCGGGGTGTGGACGGAGGGGTGAATGGATGGGTGGCATCTCAAGCACTGACCTCGTTTTCCTTGCTCGACTGTGCGATGTCCGGCATCTCACGCTTGAGTTGTCGGCGTGCTCGTCCTGCAGGTAGCGGGCGATGTACTGGCAGAGCCTTCAGAGATGGCAACACATCCATTCACAGAGCCGCCATACACCCATGCGTGTTGGCCATCAGTGCCTGTGTGCAAGCTCACGTGGCATTGATCTCCTTGCTCCAGTTGGTACCGCCGCCGCCCAGAGAGTCCAGCACACGGATGCGCTTGCGCCTGTCGGTGTGATGGCACACACACAAACAGATACATGCGTACAGACAGACAGACGGACATGTGTACCTGAAGTCCATCAGGCCGAGGGTCCAGTGCGTGCCGGCGAACCCGGCGCTAGTCAGATAGCCGTCATGCAGCGGCACCATCAGATAATCCAGGTCGAACACGTTGACGTTCGCCTGGGTGACACCACATGAGACAACCCATACCCATTCATTCTGCAAGTGTGTGTCTATATGAGACTTTGCTCACCTGGCTGCTCCACCGCCTCACAGCGCTATAGTCGTATTGGTAGCCGCCCGGCATCACCCTGACCACTTTCGGCCAGAAGAACGTGCTAGGCATCCACACCTTCGGCACGCCGCTGGATTCGCACCATGCACATACATACACACACACACAGAGTCGATGGATGGAAGGGCGGGGTGTGTGTTGGCGTGTGGGGCAGTGTGTGGATGGACTTACCCCCCCTGCTGCCTGACGATGAGAGGCTCGGAAGCGCCCCATGGATGAGCTCGATCGGTGCTGACAGGGGTGTGCGCTGACAGGGAAGTGCGCTGGCTGCTGACATGAAGGCTGCTGCAGGCGATGCTGTTGTTGTATGGGGGTGGTAGGGGTGGTCGTACGGCGGAGAAGCTGGCAGTAGTGGTGGCGAGGGTGGGGGTGAGGGGCCACACTGAAACACAAAGCAAAAATGAAAACGGACAGGCACACGGGCAGGCAGACGGACAGGCATGCCCTTCACATCACTCAGCCAGTCAGTCAGACAGACAGCCAGACAGACAGCGCTGTCGGGCAACGGGAGGTCGTACAGGGCATGAGACACCGGAATATAAAATGTAGGCGGCGATCGGCAACAGCCTGCGTGTACACGAGACACAACAACGTCATTTCCTAAGTGAGTGGTGAGTCTATGCGTCTCACCTCTGTCGCCCTGCCTCTCCAGCAACGCTGTGGCACGCCCTCGCCTGCCATTGTTGCCGTCACCACAAAATGCAACGCAATGGAATGCACATGGCAACTAGAAAAGTCCACCCATTAGAAAACCCCAATGGGACACACGGCAAAAATGCAGACAGACAGACAGACAGACAGGCAGCCAGTCATGCCATACAGAACAGACGAGATTACTTCCCCCCAGCCAGCCCCCACAGCCCGAACCAGAAGCCGCTCACGCACCGCATCCAGCAGTCCTGTGTGGCGCCCCTCACCCTCCACACCCCCTCCTGAACGTCCCACTCCCACAGGAGGGGGTACCACCCCTCCTCGTGGAAGGAGACGGGAGGCGGACCCCTCACCGCCACCGACCCCCAGGCCGTGAACTCCATGGGCAGCACCGCCGCCTTGGGCTGGACCGGGGGCAGGTGGTAGTAGCAGATGGGCTGGGGCGGCGAGTAGGCGGCGGGAGTGTGAGGGCCAGCAGGGCGGGCCATGGTGCCGGTGCCGGTGATGGTGTTACCCTGCTTGATGGCCCTCGCCTCCGCGGCCCTGGCCGTGGCCTCGTTGGCCTTGGCCATCAGCTCCTCAGCCTTGGCCGCCAGCTCCTTGGCCTCCGCCCTCGCCTCCCTGGCGATTTGCTGTACCAGACACACAGCAGCAGCAGAGAAACAGCGTTACACAGTGTGCCACGGATGAGGTTTCCATTGTAGAAGCTCTCGCATGCGTCACTTACGTCGGCGAGCCACGCTTCCGCCTCCAGCAGGATGCCGAGGCCGCCGCTCCTCTGCACCCACAGGTCGAACTCCTGCACCAGAACATCAGAGGCATCAGACAGAAGACTCCACTTTGCAGCCCGCCTGCCTACCTCGGGGTTCTCCTTCCAGAGCTTCTCGAAGGCCCTGATGAACGCCCGAGGGTCCCCCCCGTCCCTCAACAACGGCCAGTGCGACGGCCATCCCCCGGCACCGGCAGGGCACGTAGAGTGCTCGAGTTCTTTTGATCTAGTGCCCATACAAGGCCGTGGCCTGAATAGGCCTGAGCAGACATGTGACACAGAGGGAGAGGCAGGGCAGTGTATTCTGTTTGCTTGCGTCACTTTATCCCTGCTGCATGGCTTGGTGGCCGACCCTGATGTACACACAGCCACCCCACAACCGCCCGAATGCGATTGAAAGGAAAAGGCGGCGCCAGCAGGTTGCTTTTCCTCCTTACAGAAGATGGGATGTGACGACGCCAACCTTTTCTGGTGCAGCAGTACTGTAGGCTGCAACACACAGAGCACACAGAGTACACTGATTATGGCACACAGGGTTGTGCTCGTGCGAACTCACAGTGCGGCGTCGGTCGCGGCAACGGCGAGGACAGGAGCGCTGATGCAAAACGAAACGAATGGAGAGAATTGTTGTTTTGCATCAGCGCACACTCCGATGACTTGAATGAAAGAGACGTGGCACAACTTACTTCTTCTTCCGTCGATGGACGAAACGTGGACAGGTCCTCGCAGCAACACGCGCTCAGGGTTGCGATTTCCGCCGGGTAGGTGCAACGTCGGTACGGCGTCGCCGCGTCAGTCGCCGGCAACGGCGAGGTGGGGTGCTGATGGGGGGGAGATGCTGATCCGACCAAAAAAAAAATGGATCCGACAAACGAAACGAATGAGAAGGAGCGTTGGAAAAGCCAAGGCGGGCAGACGTGGTGGCGGGAAATTGTCCATCCTGTCTTTTCACCATTTTTCCGTAGCGTCTCCGGGAGACGGCGAGAATTTTTCGCGGCGAGAATTTCGTCCTGGCAAGCTTAGCTCGCCAGGTGTACACAATGCGATTGATGGAGGCGTGTACAGTACATGCAGATGAACACGCACACAGAGACGTCAGAAGCAACATCCATTCCCTTTTACGCCCCTCCACCGCTTCTGTCCCCCTGTCCTATGGCAGCAGATGAGTCGAGCGAATCATATGACGCGTGCGCACTAGATCCATAAGTGGATCCCGTCCCCTCACGCTCCAGCCAATGACGCTTATCTGCGCCCTTTTGCAATGCATCAAGCCTCTCATACGTCTGCGGCAGCTCACTTTTCATGTCGGCCACTCGCGAGGAAAATAACACCAAAAACAACCCATACAGCAACATGGCAAGACCACACGTCGCCGTTGCCCCAGTGAAGCCGGCGACCATCTCTATACCGCCTCCCGCAAGCGTGCCGAAGCGCCCAAGGCGACCATGCCCCACTCATATGAAGCCGTGAGCATGGAGGCCTCCGTTTGACGTAGCCCCTCGCGAAGGAGGAAATCCCGAATGACGACCGGACAAGGGGTTGCAATGAGACTAAGACCAACACCGAGCGCTCCGAGCGATAAGACCGATACGGATATCATCACCAGCTTCCTCGTGGTTGACGGCAGACCGACGGCGGTAGGATGCCCTGCCCACTGGATGCCTTGGCGCCAGCATGCGAAAGAGCCATAGGCGATACCTGTGACGATGTATCCTGATGTGAGCACGGGCAGGCCTCCGATGCGATCTGCCAGGGCACCCACGGGCCAAGACGATACGAGACGGGCAAAGACAATACTGAAAGCGGAAGATGGGGCAGGAAAATGCAGCGTCTGTTGATTTCTTCAGATTCTTCTTCTTTTCTCTGACTCACATGCAGGTGAGTGAGCCGACGTTGAGATGAGAGGAGGTCTGCAACGACTGAAACAGCGGCTCTCCGATGATTGGGCAGTAGAATGACATTGCAAAGCCATTCATTAGCGCCGTCAGACATCCAACTATCACACACGGGTCGTTGAGTGTCGATAGGGCCCACAGAGCACTCGAGGACACCGTCACGGTCGACGCAGCACGGCAAGCACGGCCAGTGCTGTTCCTCGTTCTCTCGTCCTCCGATCCGCTTGCTGGTGTGCATGAGTCCTCATCAGCGCGAGGAGACCCACGCGAGCGGAGAATGGGCGTGTGTTCCGTCGCCACTTCCATGACGGCATCCGTGTCTCCTTCGCCGGGACTATAGCCGTACCACTTGGCAAAGCCGTCCGGCTCCTCTCCATCCGACTTGATCTGTCGCGGGTCCTCGTCTCCATTCTTTTGACGTGTCGTGCAGGGAGTCCTGAATATGACGCGACTCTCAAAGGGACGAGGAAGAGGAGAGTCGGGGAATTGTTTGGAGGAGCTTGGCAGGCCCACTGTGAATGGCAGAAGCAGAGCGGACACCAGCGAGAAAGAGCAGACAAACAGATACGGCCCCATGAAACCCCCAATGTCATATAGTAGGCCGCCAAGAGGCATGCCGAGAAGTGCCCCAGCAGATAGTGCCGCCTGTCTCACGCCCATCGCCTGATTTGTGGCCCTCTTGGAGAAGGCATCGATGGTCTCAGCCGTGAACATCGTGATTGCCATTGTCGCACCGACAGCCATACAGAAGACCAGCAGAAAATAATATACAAGCTGCCTGGGGTCGTCATCGGGCACCATATAGTCCATAACACCATAGAGAAGCGTGGCGATTGCGTGCAGGAAGGCTCCGACATAGAGGAGGGGTAGCCGGCCGCATGCCTTTGCAAAGGTGACGACAAGAGGGGCCACGAGGAACTCGCAGAGGGGGTATGTGGACAGGAGGAGGGCGCCGACCGCCTGGTACTCGGACACTCGAAACTTGTTCCTGATGTAGTGGGGCAGGAATATTGTCGGCAGGGTGACTGCAGAGCTCACGATAGCCACCTCCACCGCGAGGTGGGCGAGCAGGATCCCCGGCTGCGGCGCTGACGGCGTTGACGGGACCATTGCAAACACCACCTGGACACACCGCAGAGCAACATGCATGGTGGTGGTGCCTTCTTTGTATCCTTGTTACTCACGGTGCTCTGAGGTGGTCAGGGGGCGCTGACTCCGCGTAGGTTTTGCTCGGGGCTTTGCGAAAGCACGTCACCGCAAGATTTCAACTGTGGCTTGGGTGTAGAGCCACAAGTGGCGCATTGTTGACAGTGGGAATCCTCCCCTTCTCTCCCCGATCGATTTTGGGGGGGCGTCTTGGCGGCAAGCGCGCACTGAGTCTCAGGCTCAAGAAACAGGAAACGACAATGATATCTGCAGTCAGCACACCAGGCGGCACTGCCGACGGCAGGCCGCTTCTGGAGGGCATGTATGAATATGAAGGGGTTCCGCACCTCATCACCCTCACGAAGGAGGAGCTCGTCATCTCGCTACCGGGGACAAGCAAGAGCTCTCCAAACACACCAGCACACGGCAATGCACCGCCATCATTCAGCCAAACGGAGAAATTCAGCCCCTCGTGAGCGCCACAATGAAGGAAAAGAGACGCAGCGGGAGTCTCTCTCTCATTCGATTTGTTCGTGACTGCAGGTCATTCTTGCCAAGGGGAGAAGGGGCGAGAGAGGTGCGGCGCGTGCCGACATCGACGTTCTTGCGAGCGTTTGTCCGCACGCCGTACCAGTGTCCGATGTCTATGGAGTTCCAGACAAAAGAAGCCGAGCTGTAAGTGTGTGTATCGTCCGCGAGGGACTGAACATGGGTCCTGTTTGCATTGTATGAGCAGCATTGTGCTCAAGACGATTCAACGAGGCCCCACCTTTGATACTGCTGAGGTGTATATAGAAGCCAATAAAGCCAGGAGGGCCATAAGAAAGCTCGACCACGTCACAGTAAGCAAGCAGCAGACGAAGTCCCAATCCCCCTGCCCCTTTCTTTGTTGGTCAGCTGAGCGAGCTCAAGACCGACGCCCCTGTGACCGGGATGACCCCCACTGTGGCCGTGCCCCTTACCCCCAAAACGCCAGCCAGCGAAGCCATCGTCGGCAGAGCCAAGAGAAAGTCAACCCTGTTTCGGATTCAAAAAGAGAGCAAACCGGCGCTCGCCGTCTCCACACCTGCGTCTCTCTCTGGGGCGAAGTCTGTGCCGAGCAGCCCTGCCCGCGGGGCACCCGAGACAGTGACTTATCTGGCGGAGGGGTGGGGCAGGGTGATCGACGGGCCTGTGGATAAAGTGGAAGGCAAGGGTGATCCTCAGCTCGGGGGGCTGTTGTGTCTCACGCTGCAGGAAGACAGGCTTCAGGTACCGGGTTACGGACAAGGGTGAATCGGGGGCTTCTGCCGGATCGACATGGTGTCGTCTGTGTGCAATTGCAGCTCCATACGGATTCGCCGTCCATGTCTGCGCCTTTCGAGCGGGCGGGGAGCCGTCGTGTCACCATCGCCATACCGAAGGGAGCAGCAGATTCATCCGCTTCGCCTCGCCCACGAGTGTCGTTCGCTGTGTCCGGAGAGGAAGAGGAACAGAAAGACGAGAACGATGAAGACGACAGCGAGAAAGGCGCCCGGCTGAGGCAATTGGCTTCCCCTGAGCTGTTGTGGGAAGAGCAGTGCGCAAATATACCTTCGATGCAGCTCAAAAGGACCCTCCGGGATGATACATATCCTATCATGACGTTCTATGCTGCAGATCGGGTGAGCTTGGATCCTACACTCGTTGCAAGAAGCACACTGTCCGTCATTCGCGTTGTCAGGCTGCTGTTGCGCTGCAATTTGAAGTCCACAAGGCTCCTGAGATGCGCCGCTCCCTTACCACTCTGGGCAGCGACTTCACGACAGTCCTAGGGAAATGGAAAACAGCCCTGAAGAAGTGCAACATCGAGGTGACGGAGCAAAGGGAAAGGCGCCTCAGCTCAACACTTCCTGCTGCCTTTCGCCCTGAGCCGCCATCTCCCCGGCCGACGGAGCCTGCCTCTCCTTCACCCGCTCCGACTCCGCCACCCGCACCTCCCTCACCCCCGTCAGCCCCTGCGCCCACCCCAGAGCCCCCACGCGAAGCTGAGAAGGAACGTCCACCGGAAGAAGAGAAAACAGAGCAGGTTGAGGCTGTCACCCAGCCGAAGGAAGACGTTTCTCCGGCTGCGCCAGAGCCACATCCTGCTGGAGGTGAGGAGGCCGAGGTTGCTGCTTCTGAGCAGGTGAAGCTGCCTGCAGAAAAGGAGGAAGAGGAAGAAGAAGAGAAGAAAGAATCGCCTCCTCCTTCCGAGCCGCCCTCGGAAGCAATATTCGAGGCACCAGGCCCAGCTGAAGAAACAGAAGAGATGCCGCCAGCAGAGGACAAGACAGAGACGCCAGAGGCACCTCCCGCGGACGAGGAGCTGCCAGGGGTCCCGACTGAAGAGGACCGAGGGATTGAAGGGCCTGTCGAGGAAGAGAAGGTGGAGCCAATTGCCCCCCAGGTGGAGACACAAGAAGACGACGAGGATGCAGGGTGCATGCCGGAAACACCTGGACCGACGATCGATACGGTGGAAGAGAGTCAAGAGCCTGATGCCATTCCTGAAGCCGTCCCCGCCCCTCTACGAATTCTCATCAGCGACCCCCACGGCCAGATGAGTGTCAGCATGGACACCATACAAAGACTCGAAGACGTGATTCAGCAGGGCAGCGACCTGTCCCCCGCATCTGAGAGAAGCGAAGAAGAAACTCCGGCTGTGGTCGAGCTGCCGCCAGCAGTACACGAGCCCCCGATTCTGCCCCCGGAAGCATTCCAGGAGAGACGGGCGACCTTTCAGACCGATTGGACAGCCGTGACTCCATACAGTGAAGCCGTGACTCCATACAGCGAAGTCTCGCGGCAGCAGGATGAAGAGACGTCTGCGGCTGAGGTGACGGTCCCTGAGACAAAAGAGGAGGAAGGCCGAGAGGAAGAAGAGAACCTGGCCAAGGAAGAGCCTGTGAGGGAGGAGCCGAGTGCGCCCGTGTCACCACCGCCTACCGACACCGGCAAGTCGATCGGACGAGTGGAAATACCACCCGGGCCACCGGCGCCGCCAGAAGAGCCAGAGCAACCCACCGTGGAAGTGGAGTCGCAGCGACTAGAGACATCGGCATCTGTCCCCGCTCTGCCCGCCCCTCCACCCGAGCCAGAGGTCATAGACGAGCCAGTGATGCGGCGAAGCCCCTCACGGGCATCTGAAGGCTTGCCTGTGGATGAGGCACAGATGCGACTCGAGGATCGCATCTCGATGGCCCGTCCCAAGACGGCAGGGCCTGTCCCGACCAGACGCGCGACTACTGGGGGCAAAATCCTGAGAAAGCAGCCATCATCGGCCTCGCTGGTCCGCCACAGCGAGCATGGAACGATCAGTGACGTATGTCTCATTCTCTGTGGTGTCTAGGTGTATGATATGCTGCACAAGGTTCACGAGGTCCAACGACACATCGCAATGATCCAGAGCGCCCACCACCGCACTCCCGTCCCCCCGTCGCCCCCTCCCACGCCACCGCCAACCAGCCCAATGCGCTACACCGGCACGTATGTACCTCTGCCCCACGGAGCCGGCGTCATGCCATATCAGTGGCCAACAGAGGCCTCCTCGGGCACCAGATATCTGCACAAGAAGGACCGAGACGAGCATCTTGACTTCGATGTGCACCCGCTGCCCGTGATGGACCCCTCGATGTACCCGCCGCCTTTCATGCTGCCCCCCGAGCTGGAGCAGATCATCGCATCAACGCCCGGCGTACACCATCTCGTGCACGTGCTCCAACCGGCCCCCGCCCCGCAGCCAGAAGCGGCCGCCATCGAGCAGGTCTATGGAAACACCGACAATCACAGGCCGAGAGGCACCGCTGACGAGAGACGGGAGACACCTGAGAGGACGAGGAGGAGAAGGGGTCGATCGAGGCCTCAGACGGCGCAGGCGAGGATTGCGCGCGGCAGAAGGCACAAGAGGAGCCCTCCACCCTGGCAGTTCGAGTTGGCCGTCGTGACTGACGTGGTGGTCGAGAAGGGCAAGTGGAAGGACAGATATAAGCAGGTCATCCGGACGTTGCCGCATCCAGGCTTCAGGCGGCGATGGCCGCGACGACCCCAGCCGCCCGACCCTGTCTTCCTCCCCATTTCTGCGCCGGAGAGCGGCCTCGCCTCCCGGCACACCGTATCCCACCGCTCGCTGCATCCCTCCCCTTACATGACCCCTGCGCCCTTCGTGGCTGCCTCGCAACCATCCGTGTTTGGGTCTCAGCCCCCAGTGGACGATGTGCCGTCGATTTTCGTTGATATCGCAGTCAATGATATGTACAGGAGGGCCCGGATGGCAGCGGGCTGTAAGAAGAAGGGCTGCGAGGGAGAGGCACACAGGCACTGACTGCTGGGCTGACTGGTATTTGTGTATGGGTACGGGAGTCGTTGCTACCTTGTTGTATGCGTCTGTTGAATGTGCGGCGCTGGCTCATGGGTGAGGGTGGTAAGCAAGTCTGTCTGTCGATGTGTGTGCGTGTGAGTACATCAAGGGCAGACCGGCATCATATTTGTTCAAGAACGTATCGCATATATTTGCAGTCTCAAAAGCTCAATCGAAACAAAATCCGACAGGAATGAAGGCAAGCACTGGAAACACTCAGTGCACCACATCGACATCAGCCATTCTTTCAGTCGTCCTCTAGCAAGTCATCTTCATTGAGCTCGTCTTCCTCATCAAAGACGCTCTCATTGAAGACCTGCTTGCGGATGTCGTTGGGGTCATCCTCCTCGGGAAGCTCCTCGTCGAAATCCTTGAGAGTGGCATCACTCTCAAACAGCTGCTTGCCCGTCAGCCGGTCGGCCTTGGTGTCGACCTTCCAGTAGCCCAGAGCCACCATCTCCTGCTTGAACGATGCCTTCCACGTCGCGAACTGCTCGTCGGTGACGCGCTCATCCGGCCGACACAGCACCTTGTCCGCCAGGCCCTTGAACTCGGGCTGAGGTCCCTCCCCATCTGCCGTGTCGGTCGGGCCGTTCTCCTTATCGGCATCTGCGTCATCGCCCGTCTTCCTGAGCAGCATCTCCTCATGCATGGATAGCTGCGGCTTGTTGTTCTCCCTCAGGTAGTTCTGCAGCGCCTCGGCGATGGTGTAGATCATGACCATGCCACGGTTGTTGTCGATCTCCTGCTCCACCAGGTCCTTCATGGCCTGTATCTGCCGCCCCTCCAGGCCCTTCTGCGCCTTGATAGAGTAGCAGGGGGGGTCGTCGGGGTACGTGGGCGTGTAGGTGACGTGCAGCGTCGCCTTGACGTGGTTCTCTTCTGGCGGTGCGCTCGGGTCAGGGACCAGGTGCAGGTAGAACTCGGTGGCTGAGATCTTCTCGAAGTCATCGAGGAAGATGGACTCGAGAGCTTCGACCTCCAGCTCCTGCTCCTCGGCGTGATTCGTCATCGATGCGATGATGACGAGATCTTCGTCACGATACAGTTCATCGCTGCGTTAGCATCGGCGATAGCCTGGAAACGCCTCCCTCGGCTCAGATCTGCGATTAATAGCTCGCAGATGGGAGTGGATCGAATCCATTGTGCCAAGGCGTGATGGCAAATCCACAAATTCACGCATCGAGCAGCAGCACTGAGACAGTTTAGGCGATGGTTTGACGAAAATTGCGGCATGCATACCGACGAGTCACAAAACCGGCACGCACACTCTCCAGCTATAATGCCATCACATGATCCAGCTATCTATTTATCTACCAGAACACATCACCGGCTTCCTCATCTTCCTCCTCCTCGCCCTCGTCTTCTTCCTCTTCATCCTCGTCTGGCTCGTCAACACCCGATGCCGGCCTCGAGCGGCTCACACCGTCGCTCGTAGAGGGACGCTCCACTAACATGGGGCCCGGCGAGCTGTCAGGCGCATCCAGACTCTGCCGCTGCCGACGATGGCTGGTGAAGTGAAGAGAGAGAAGAGAAGAACATACAGTCACAACCTGTGTGGGGTGCTGGCTTTGTGTCGTGATGTCGTCTGCTCACCGGTACATCCTGCTGGATGAGGGCGACCCGTCCTCGGCGAAGTCCTCTTGCAGCTCGAAATCGTCCATGCCTCCATCTCCTTCGCCATACTCGTCGAGTCGCATCCCCCCATTGCCCCTCCCCCTCCCACGGCCTCTCCCCCGCCCGCCTCGCATGTGCCCCCGATAGCTCTGCTGGCCATACTTGCGCGCGCGACCCCGCGCAGCGAACTTCCACCAGATGGGCTCCAGATCTCTGTCGTCGTCGTCTTCGTTCTCCTCGTCGTCAAAGTCGCCCAAGTCGCCGTGTGGCTTGTGCCTGTAGCGCCGCTCTCGGTGCGCAAGGTCGAGCAGCTCCTTCTGCTCGTCAGTGAGCCCGGCGCCATCCCCTCCCCTCGACTGCCGCCGGTCCTCGCGGCTGCCCCGCCGGCCCCTCTTGCCCCGCTGGTTCCTGTCGTCCTTGCCGGGCATCATCATCACGTCGTCATCCACCAGATCGCGATCTGGTCTGCGGCCCTTCGGGTGCATCACCATGAAGGCATGGCGGGCGATCGCATCAAAGGCATCGGCGATGGTCTTGCTGGCCTGAGCGCGGTCAGCCTCGGTCAGGGAGCCGACCTTGACGAGAGGGCAAGTGGGTGCGACTGGTGGGGCTGATGACGCCATCTGGGTATCGTCATGGATGGGCGCGTGGACGGCTCCCTTAATGAGCTGTGGGGAGATGAGCAGCATGATGAAGTAATTGATGAGCCGGTCGAGTGCGCGGCGGATCTGTTGGGTGAAGAAGGCCGGCTGCCCGCGGATGGGGACGGGGATGCCCACCATGTCCAGACGGATGCGATCGGGCTTCTCCTTGGTCAGACCTGGCCACAGACAGATGGACACACATAGTCCATGCCAACATGGGTTCATCTCATCTCTGCGCCTCTCACCAGCAGAGGTGAGCCCGTACAGGGCGGGGCTGACGACCGTCACGTCTCTGAGAAATGCCTTGGACGACTTGAGCACCTCAAATCCCACCGTGACGAAGCAGTGGGGCATCTCCTGGCTCCTCTTGCCCCCACACACGCTGGACGGGTGACACTCGAGCTTCTGCCGCTGGGCTGAGTACAGCCCCACCACGTTGTAGCGCTTCTTGCTGCTCACGTGAGTCCGACACGCACTCACGAACAGGGCCTTGCACAGCACCGACGACAGCAGCAGCTCGTTGGGTGAGGGAAGCCGCATCGGCAAGTCACGCTGTCTGGGGTCGATGTTTCGTTGGTTGGGCTGCTCGTTGCGGTTGCTGAATGATCGCTGTGAGGGGTTGCTTGATGTGGACCAGAGGTAGGGAGCCATCCTGCGGAAAGTGTCGTCCAGCTGGTTCGACAAGGAGCGGGCACCTCTGAGCAGCCAGATGCACGCAGATGGATTGGTGCTGATGAGCGTCACGGAGTGTGTGTGGGGGCGGGGGTCACCTGAGGTTTGTCGAGGAGACGAAGAACTCTCTGCAGAAGTAGCCCACATTCTGGCTGCCCCACTCCTTCCAACTCTCCAACAGACGCCTGCAACGACCAGCCAGCCAACCAACCAACAAATCAACCAATACACACAAATGGAGAAGGCGCCCACATCCTCCTCCTTCCCACCAGCACTCACTTATAGGCGACGTGATCACTGAGGACGCCCCCGGCCAGATTCCACCGTGCCTGGTCGGCGAACACCTCCCGCCCGGGTGGGGGCATCGTGAAGGGGGTCGTCCACCCAAGGATGGCCGCCAGGTCGGTGCATGTGGGCATGATCCCAGCCAGCAGCCCCATGGTGAGGGTCAGCCCCAACTGCGGGTGCAGGGGCACCGTGCCCAAGAGGACTCCCAGAGGGGTGAGGGTCTCCTCCGTTTCTGGGCACGACGTGTCAAGGGCGCCGAGCGATTTGAGGTGGTGAACGGCATTGTACAATACCTGCAAGGCGGGGCACACACTTGCGTGTTGAAAGGAGAATGGGTGGATAAGATGCTTTTGTGCACTGCGTACGTCTTCAGTGGGCGGCGAGATGCATTCGTTGAGGAATGCGGCGGATGGCTGTGTGGGCTGGACCAGCTGCAGCATCTTGACCTGCAGCACGATCTCCTCCATCGATGTACGCCGCATCTCGGGTTCCAATTCCTCACACATGCGCTGATCCTTGTGGTCTCTGAAACGACAGACACCACGCCGCAACACAGCAAAGTGTGTGACGCATCCACAGATATTCTCTGCGGCGGCTTACTTGGTGTAAAGTGCGAAGTAGACGCCCTCTCGGCATCTGCCGGCGCGGCCCTTCCGCTGCTTGGCGTTGGCTCGCGCCTCTTCAACGATGCCCAGTGTGCTGAAGCCGGTGGCGGGGTCGTACGTGGTGCACTTGATGACGCCCGTGTCAATGACGTACACAACGTCCTAACCGCAACAAACAGACGACAGAAATGGCGGGTGGCCGAGGGAGGGTTGGTGAACTGGTATGTACCTCAATGGTGATGGATGTCTCGGCGATGTTTGTGGCGAGGACCACTTTGCGGCGGCCGTTTGTAGGCCGCCTGAAGACCTCCTGCTGCTGCTGGGGGGGCACCATCGAATGCAGAGGCATCACCTGAAGACCACTCAACCTGACACGTCCACACCCACACACACAAACACACGTGCAATGGTGAGCCTGAACCTCTCTCCCTCCTCCCTCCTCCCTCCTTGACTCACGCAGGGTTGTCAGTGATTGTGTCCTGTGCCTTTTGTATCTCCGCCCAGCCGGGGAGGAACACCAGCACCGCACCCTTGTCCACTGTGCCATCGGGCTTGACTGGGTCGAACTTGTTGGTCTCGATGAGGGCGAGGATTCGTGCGATGAGGGGGAAGTCGATGCGGCCACTGGCGATGGCGTTGGTGGCGTCGAAGGCCAGCATGGCCTGCAGAATGTCGTCCGGGTACTGCGGATAGCGGTCACGTAGCTGACACACAGAGAGAGAGGGATGGCACGCTGGCACGGGTGTGTGTGTTTTGTCAGGGTGCCTTACCTGGTGTACTTTGTGGTCGTTTTTCTGCATTTGTATCTGTATCTGTTTGTCCTGCATCATCTGCTGCCTGAACTTGCGGCTGCCCCACTGCCGTCCACCACCGCGCCCTCTGCCACGGCCCCTCCCGCCGTGGAAGTGCTGCATGGCGGCGCTCTCAGGTCTGTAACCCGTCTCGAGCAGGATGTCCTCATAGTAATGCTCCTACACACACACACACACGCACACCAAACGACAAACAAATACGCAATGCCCGTGCTGCATGATATCCTTTTGCTGCTGACCTTGACAGGGAAGACTCTCCCCGGAATGTAGAGTGTCTTGAGAGAAAGTGTCTGGTCGAGGAAGTACTGCTCGAAGATGGTGGGGTCGATGGTGGCCGACATCAGCACCACCTTCAGGTCGGGGCGGGTCGTCAGCAACATCCGCCTGCACACACAGAGAGGGGAAAGCTGTGCTGCATGTCTGCCTGTGTCTATTTGCTGGCGCTGCACACCTGAGTATGGTGAGGCAGAAGTCGGTGTAGACCTCCCGCTCGTGCACCTCATCCACCACCACATGAGTCACGCCCGTCAGCATCGGGGCCTATGCACCCACCGCGCACACACATTTTCTCTCTCTGCCGAATTCTCCTGAATGACCGACCCACCTGCAGGAGACGTCTGAGTAGTATCCCCTGGGTGCAGTAGAGCAGCCTCGTCTTCTCGTTGGCCTTGCAGTCGAACCGAATCTGATACCCCACCACGTCCTCGCCCACACGCAGCCCTCGCTCGCTGCACACACGCTCTGCCACACTCGTCGCCGCTATCCTGGACAACACACGCGCAAACACAACATCGACGCAAATACCTACCGTGTGGCGTCGATGTTGTGGCGTCAGCCAACTACCTACCGTCTAGGCTGCGTGCAGATGACGGCGGCGTACTCGCCTCGGTCGTAGGCGTCATCTAGAATCTGCTGCGGCACCTGTGTGGTCTTGCCGCAGCCCGTGTCGCCAACCACAATCGTCACGTTGTGCTCACGCACTGCCTGCACCGTTTCCTTGGCAAAATCGGTGCACGGCAGACCTTTACGCCACTCTGCGAAGCGCAGCACCTACATGACATGCACCTACCTGACGTCTGGGATGCCTGCGCGAAGCCATGGTTTCACTCTCTCACCTCTGGCAGCATTGCGTTTTGGTGGATCTTCTCGCGCACTGCCGCCAACTCATCTGGACTGATCGATCCAGGAAACTTGACGTAGGGCGTGCTGCATGAAGGCAAGACAAACCAGACACACACACACATGCATCCGTCCGTCCGTCCGTCTGTCTGTCTGTCCATCAGTAGCATTGGTGTCACCTGAGGTCCTGTGTGCCGCCCTCGAGGAGCCTCTGCTGCGCCGCCTGCATGAGGGGGGGCAGCGGCCCAAGCTGCGACTCCAGGCGACCCAACGGTTCCTTGCTCTCGTTTAACGCGCGAGATAGACTGTACACACACTCACGGACAAAGGCACATATACACCAATCAGTCGAGGTCTCTATGGGTGGTGGTGGCTGACCTTTGTTCGAGTGCAGGATGGTTGAACCACGACTGGAACTCCAGGGACTCCTCAGAGGCAGCGCCGCCGGTCGCGTCAAGACCCTGTCAGGCACGATACGCGGCTGATCTGCCCTGGTCTAGGTGCGACGAATCTCACCATCTCGTTGATGGCGACTGCCCAGGTGTTCTTGTACTTGACGTGGACGAAGTCAGACGCATACGCACGGAAGAAATGCGTGAGTGGCTTCATCCGCTGATACAGCGCTGCACCAGACACACCGACGAACACACGCACTTCCATTGCATTTCCCTCTCCACCGATTCCTCCCTCGCTCACTAAGTCCTTGTGGCGTGCTCTTGAGCTCCCTGACGAGCTGAGTGCGCGACATGGCCCCGCCATTCCGCTCCAGCAGGCCCCTCAGATACGTCACATCCTCACTCTGCAGGCCGTACGGCAAGCTCCCACTCGGCATGACGGCTGGGCTGCTGTTGCTACTGCTGCTTGTCACGCACAGGGGCCGGGCACAAGGGCGGTGTCGATGAATCTGCAATCGGCTTCGAACAAACGGGTCGGCTGAGAGGAAAGAGAGCAAAGGGGATGTGGGCTCAGAGAAGGGAAGTAATGCTGATGTCCAGATGCGGAGGAGCAGGAGCATCGAAGGCCGTGAGCATCATCTCCGCACGGGAAGATTGGACCAACACGAAACTGTCTTCTTCTAAAAGAAGCACACCAAGCTCACGTGTAGCGAGGTTCAACCCACGGGATCTCGAGAAAACCGCGCCTCCTTCTTGTGCAAGTTCAGCTGCAGAGCGGTGGCCGAGCTCGCGCAAAAGACCGAACGCGCGTAGTCATCTGACTCATCTCCTCATGATCATAGTTGCCAGATCTGCGTCAGAGGCCCTCGTCAGGCGCTGATCCCGTCCTCCAGCGATGGCCTCATCTGTCAGGCGATGATGGATGTCCGTGCCATTCTGCAAGGCCTTCTCGTCGCCATTCTGCCCCTCACAGATGCCTCGCTGCTTTTGAGAAGGCTGCAACCCATTGATCAGGCGGCGTTCCATCACCCTTTATCCATCTCATCATCACTGCGGCAGCGTGGTGGACGACGCGGCTTGTCAGCATTGAGGAGGAGCAAGGCCGGCTTGTCTATGTCGGCACATGGCAATGAGCTGCGGCACCTCGACCGCAAGCGCCGAGAGCCGTCGACGCTCAATCCCACCAACCCTGCCATGAGGACGGGCAGGAGGCGGGAGTGGCACCGACGCAATGACAGAGGTAACCACAGCACGACATCAGCTGTCTTTGGTCTGCGAAATTGTGTGTGTGTGTGTGTGTGTGTGTGTGTCTTGATAGGTATCCGTCAGATGAAGCGATGGAAGATCGATGATAAGGAGAACGACATCCCTCGCGGCAACTGGACCTACCGCAACGACGCCTGGAGCGTAAGCCACGGACAGACAGAGGGAAGCGGTGTGAAGCATGTGTGCGACTCTGTGTGTGTGTGTGTGGCTGTGTGGTTGTGTGGTTGTGTGGTTGTGTGGTGCAGGAGCTGGTTCATGACGTCGATTGGGAGAGGCAGTACCCCCACTACTACGACCAAAACATATACAAGAGGTGAGAAGGCAGGAGCACGCAGGCAGGGACACAAGACACCAAAGTCGCCCATGGATGGCTGCATGATGCATCGTCAGGACTCCGATTGAGACCCAGTTCCTGCAGCACAGCTACAACGATGACAACTACTTTGACATCCAGTTCATCGGGTCCGCCAACCACCACCCAGCCACACAACCTGTTGGCATGAACTTCGGATGGAAAATCAACTGGTCGGTCCTACACACTCACAGACACAACACACACACACACACACACAGCGCCTCGCCCTGTGAATGCGTCTCGCGGATGTTTCTGTGGTTGCATCAGGGTGCCTTGGGAGCGGAAAAAACGGCCGCGTCGGACCGGTCAGCCCCTCAAGTCGATTGCCTTCAATATGGGGGGCATCGAGCCGCTGCAGCTGTGGTTCTGGCCGGAGGGCCTGCCCCACTCGCTGCCTGGCTACGCCGCCCTGCACCTCGTGTCGCCGCCCGGCTGGCACCTGCCATATCCTCTGCGCATGTGGATGGTCTCCGAGCACGGGCAGGTTGTGGCGGGGCCCTTCATGAGACACTCCAAAGAGTACATCAAGTACTCACACAACTTCGCCAGGTGAGGTGAGGGTCAGGCGGTAGAAAGGCCAAGGGGCGACTGACCGCCGCGCGCATGGACGTGCGTGTGCTTGGGTGTTGGTGTCAGGCTGATGAGCTACCGCGAGGCTGAGGAAGAGGGAGCCGGGCCAGAGGATCTGGTGCTGGGCCCTGCGGGCAATGTGTATGTGGGTGTTGGCATCGCCGATGAGTCGTGGAACTGGGACGACGGGGCGTGGGACTACGAGGACTGGATCAAGAAGAGGGGCCTCGGGTGCGGACCTGACCCAGTCGGGCCATGGTGAGGAACAGACAGACCACAGACAACGATCCAGAGAGAGATGTGAAGCGGCATACATATGTACATGCGGCCATGTGTGGATTGGGTGGATGGGTGGCGTATGCAGGCTGACGGTGAGTGAGGAGTATGAGAATTTCAAGTACCGCGACACCCCCGACCGTCACTTCGCCGCCAACTGCCGCTCTGCAGACGGGATGGGCTACGAGATCCCGCCCTGGGCGGCATCAGAGCTGCCGCCCCACCTGCAAGGCATCTACCCCGACGACCCATTTGGCCGCAACGACTGGGACGAGCCCATATGGATGCCGCCGGGAGGCGATAGCACTGTAGAAAAGGCAGCCTAGCGGGTGTGGTGTCATGCCAGGGTGGCTGCGATGCAGTTTGTGAATGAAGCGAAGACGCAGAGAGAGATGCGTGACATGAGAGAGAGAGAGAGAGAGAGAGAGACGCACGTGGACGGCAGTCGATCTGCTGTTGGCAAGCTTTTTCTGTTCAAGAGGGGCAGACTGCCAGCCACCTGTTTGACCCTGATTCATGCATCTGGCAAATCGCTGGTCGGTCCATTGCTCACTATACCCAACACACACAGCCATCCTTCCACCACTCACAGCACGGACAGAGAGCCGGTCTAGTGCTATTCTAGGCTGGCTGGGGCAAATGGCGGGCGGCATCAGAACCAGCGAGCCTTCACGACAGCATCCTACACGAACACATGCAGCACGTAGTTGGACACCCAGGTGCTGCTACCAAGGAAAAACCGCGTCTGTGGTTTGACCTGGTATCGTGTTTCCTCGCAGCTCTTTTTGGGGTACCGCTTGTTGATGACCACCTCCTCGTGCCAACCCACTTGCTGCACACGGCAGACAGCACACACTGACTGGCAGGTACTTAGCCCGTTCACACCATATATCCGCACACACATACCTGTGCAGCCGTGAGGGGCACTTTGAACACATCTATGGGACTTTTCTTGCGACGCCTGATCAACACAGACAGACACATGCATGTATGTATGCCATCAAGCACACCTTGGCGGCCAATCGACACACGCAGATAGAGCACAAAACATCCATGCACTCATCCATCCCCCCAGCTGGTCAGTCTGGTGCAGGCATTTTGGGAGGCCGGGTAAGCAGTGCACCTGTGGCGCCTCCTCTCCTCCCTGAGGAAGTCGTAGGACTGATATTGGCGCACCTCACTGCACTCCCAGCCGTCCAGATACGCTAGACGGGGCCCACATGGATGGATTGATGGCCGCACCCCCACAACACACACCACACACAGAGAGGGGGATGATCTCACGTGTTTTTGCGTGTCTGGTCTCTCAGGTCTTGCGATGACTGATACTCTCTTGTCCCTGACTCTTCTGTCTGCAGTATGGCTGACGTGGGCGAGAGGAAACGAGACGCGAGACAGACAGACAGACAGACAGGCAGACGGCACACACACACATGAAGGCCAGAGGAGCAGTGCGATGATTGTTCAGGCCAGGGGGATTTGCGATGGCATGCACACGGCAGACGAGAGGCTAGGAGACCCCCCTGTGTGTGTGTGTGTGTGTGTGTGTGTGCTATCTGCCTGTCTGGTCGGGTGTGGTGTGATACCTCTCATCCTGTGCAGCCCCTCTCGGAACTCGTCCCACGATATCTTGACACAAAGACAGACAGATTCGAATAAGGGTTCGATGCATGAATGGAATGGCCCTCACGCATGTATGTGTTCATGGTGCACAGCTTTAGGCCTTTAGGCACCTTTCCGTCTTGGTTGATGTCCATGAACTGCATGAATAGGTCAACTTCCTCAGCCATGGGGTCAAACCCGTACGTCTCACGCAGCATCGACACCACCTCACGGCGCTCGATGAAGCCGCTCCCGTCCCTGCATGACACACACACACACACACACACACACACAACGGACGGGATGGCTGGCTGGATGTATGTATGTACGCCGTCTTTGCAAACAAAGCCCTAATACTGCCCCATCGTAGAGAGGAGGTCCCGGCAACCGAGTGTGGGCTGTGTACCTACCGGTCAAACAGGTGGAATTTCGTCAAGAACTCGTCATCCTCCCAGTACTTGACGCCCAGCGTCGACAACAACGTCACCGAAAAGGGATTCGGCGCTGCACAAACACCCACAGAGGAGAGAGGTGGGCCAGCATCAAGCCAACACGGATGCGCAGCTGCCTGCGTAGTGATACATCGTTGGGTTCGTTCGCCTTACGTCCCAGCGCAGTGACGCCGAAGGCCGACATCGCTGCGGGAAGACCGCCTTTCTCTCGAGTCTCAGACTGGGGGCAAGATGGCGAGCTGTGAAGTGATCGCCTTTTCCAATGGGACGAGAGCGGATCTTTGAATGACGGAGCATTGCAGTCTGCAGGCCATGTATTATGCATGTGTGAATGTGTGGATCACAGCAATCGTCACAAATGCAAGTTCGATCGGCCAGGCCATCACGCGCCCACCGCACGACCAGCACAGCAGCAGCAGCAGCAGCCTACAATCTGGCACCTACCTAGCACAATCAGCAGATCCGAGCAACCAACCACCCCACCCGTCCACTCACCCAGCCATATCTGTCTGACCATCCCTCTACAATCCCACGCCACGACTCGCCCCCCTCTTGCGCGCCGCAGGAGGTATGTATGGTTGCACCCTACACACGCCCTCCCTGCGCCTCCGTGGGCACTCGTCCATGTGCAGACGAGCGGAGGGGGACGCCTCGTCGGTTGCGTGTGACGTCACAGATCCCCCCCCGCCACCACCGCCCCCATTGCCGTAGACGAACAGCCCGCGGCCCTTGCGGATACGCTTGGGCGGCTCGCTGGTCTCTGCCTTGGGCGTCTCGTCCTCGGCGGCGGCAGCAGCTGCCTCATGGTGCTTGGTCTCCACTGGCGAGAATGACGGTGAGCAGTCGGCCGTCACTACAGCTGTCGGCACGGGCGATGAGGAAGGCATTGACGAGGGCTGCGACTCGCTCGTCGGGCTGTCGAGCTTGGGGGGCAGCTCGAGTGGGAATGGGTGCTGCTTGAGGTCGAGCCGCTCCTCTTGATCCAGCCAGAAGGAGAAAGAGGGTGGCGGGTATATGGGTGGCGCGAAGACGGGCGGCTGCAGCGCATGGATCTGGGCGAGACAGAGCCGGGGCGGCGCGCACGACGGACGGGGAGGGAGGGGAGGGGGAGCTGGCGAGGGGGGCGACATGGAAGGGAAGGAGGGGAAGGACGACGGATGGGAAGACGAGCTGCTCGGTTGCTGCGCGAGTGATGTTGCGATGGGGACCGGCGGGGCCTTGGCTGACAGCTTGGTGGACTTCTTGACGGGCGAGAAGCGGAAAAGAGATGCCGCCAGGTCCTTGTCCTCTTTCGTGTTGCCCTTCTTGGTCTTGCTGCTGCCGTCCTCCTCCTCGTTGTCGTCATCTGCGCCTCGATCGTCACTCCCCACAGCCAGCCGCCGACCCCACTTGCCCTTCTTCCCCCCCGCCCCCACTACGTCCCCCAAACTCGGATACTGCTTCTCGTACTTGGTGCCATCATACACACACAAGGGACCCTCCTCGCTGCTGGTACTGGTACTGACAAACGGGCCCGCCGCTGCCCGTCGGCTGCCGGCGGCCCCCGATGCCTTGGTGCCGCCTCCTCCCCCGCTAGTATGGCGTGGTCCTGTGTTGTGTGCGAGGGTCCCTTTGCGGCCCGCCGGCTGCCGCGCCGTATGCGTATGAAGTTTGGTCGTAGGGGTTGGGCAGGGTGACGCCCGGCTGGGGGGCGCCGTACGCTCCTGCTGCGGCACCGGGGTACCCACCTGATCATGATACGCCACAACACACGAACATGTGTGATCATGAAGTGAATGCCGTGTGTTCTCTGCGTGTGTGCGTGTGAGTTGCGCACCGTATCCGTAGAATGCGGCTGCGTTCGGGTCTTGGTATCCCCACGCCCCGTAGTACATGCCTGGTGCAGTGGGCTGGGCGCCGGGGGCTGGGAAGACTCCCCCTGGTGCTGCGGCTGCTGCTGGTGCTCCGTGTTGTCCGGCTGCTCCTCCGATGACGGTTGGCTGCTGGTGTGCTGCCCATGGGTGTGGGTGTGCGGCAGGTCCGGCTGCTGCAGCCCCAGTGACTCCAATAGCAGTTCCCAGTCCAGCCACCATTCCTCCTGCTCCGGCGTGTCCTGCACTGGAAGAGGGATAAGCTCCATTTGAGGGTGACAGGCCGTACCCACCACCTTCATGCATCACGCATGGTGTGTGCACAATGCATAATGGCATGGGATGGCATGCGATGCGTGAGGGGGGCATGGCATGGCATGGCATGGCAGACGGACAGACGAGACGAGCAGCCAGGCGAGACGGCCAGACACAGACAGACAGACAGACAGACAGACAGACAGCAACGGACAACCATACCATGAAGATCGCTCGTCTGAGGGCCTTCCTGTGCTAGTGCATAAGGAGGGGTGTGGGTGGGTCAGGGGAGATGCGTGGATGGCATGTGTGGATGCATCCACGCATGTGTGTGTGTGTATGTGTGTGTGGTTGGCGCACCGTATGCGTCATATCCGCGGCCAAATCCCCTACCGCCACCACGTGAATACGGAGGTGAACCTGACAGCAACACACAGGCACACATCCATATATCCACCCGTCAGTGTGTTCTTCGGCTGGTGGGCCGGGCCGCTCACCGAATGAGTCGTACCCCCTGCCGCCCCCTCCCCTGCCGCCATAGCCGTAGCCGCCACGGCCCATCCGTCGGGGGTCGTTCTGGTCGCGAGGCTGGGCACGCTTCGCCTCGCACTATCCGCATACACACACACAGACAGACACACAGACATCAGTGAATAGGATGAGAGCCTGGATGGATGTCGTGCGTGTGATGAGAGTGCGATCGCACCTCTCGGCCCTTGATGTTGTGCATGCCGATGGCCCGCTCAGCCACATGGTGCTCTTCAAATATCACGAATCCAAAACCTGCACAAGCAACAGACAGACAGACACACAGAGAGACACCAGGGTGACGTCGTGACAGATGGTGGGTTGCATTCATTGTGAGGTTCGATCTGTTCCGGTGGCTGACCTCTGGGCTTGTGTGAGAACTTGTCGTACATGAGTGTGGCCTCCTTGACGCGCCCAATGCGCTCAAACACCGCACGAAACTCAGCTGAACACCACACACATACAATAAACGCATGTGAGGGGTGAGTGAGCAGGTGGGTCGATGCGCCGGCAGTGCCCGCTCAGCTTACTCTCGTCTAGTTCCTCTGGCAGTCCGCCGACGAATATTTTGGCCGGGTGCTGTATGGTGTCGTATGCAGGGGTCTCGCGCGCCTCCTCGCGAGGCACGGCATGACGCACGTCACACTGACACAAGGACGAGATGACACAAGCCACGACACATGAGTGGATGCAGCGATCGTGCTGTCTGTGTTCTTTGTGTTGTGCTGGGTGTGGGTGTGGCGTACCGCCACGCCGTCGATCTTGTGCTTCTCCCTGAAGGGACAACACCAACCACAACACGCCACAGCGGCGTGATGCACGTGGGTGGTGGGAGCGGTGCATATCTATGTGTTCGTGCCTCACCTAATGCAGGCTTCTACGGAGTGTGCGTCCCGGAACAGAACGAAGGCGAACCCGCGAGAGCGACCTGAGTGCTTCTCGCACACCACCGCGGCATCTATGATCTCGCCAAACTGATGTCACACCACACACACAGACACATGCACACACAGGAGGGACACACATGAGGAACACATGGTCCAACGAACGCCCGACGTCCCTCCCTCCTTTCTCCCCTCCTCACCTTTGAGAAGTGCGCTCTGATGGTCTCTGACGTCGTGCACGTCCCCAACCCTCCAACAAACACCTTGTTCGGATTCCTCTCTGCGCACACCCACACACCATGCCACACTCGTCACTTGCACACATGACATGGTGCATACCCATGTCCCTCCTGTCCGTCCGGCTCACCCTGGTCGTTGAGTGCAGCCGGCAGACGCCCCCCCACAGCACCCGATGCGTAGTACTGCGGGTCATGTCGCTCGGCCGCTGCCGCGGCGCCCTCGCCACCCACATACGCCGATGGCTGATACGACACGCCAGTCTCCTGGTAGCTCGGCGCCGCCTGAGCCGCCGCTGCGTCAGCTGCAGGCGCATCGGACGCTGCAGGCGCCTCAGAGGGGGCGGGATGCGTCATGGCTTGCTCCTCCATCCCCTGCGGCGGTGGCTCGTCGGATGCCGCGTCTTGCTTGACCATGCCATTGGTTGGCTGGTCGGTGGCCTCCTGCTGCTGCTCCGGCGCCTCAGCCGTGGTGGTCGGCTGATTGGTCCCCTCCACAGGCTGCTCGCCGCTACTCATGGTGTGGGGAAGTCGAAGAAGAGAGGAATGGTCAGATCTCGCGCACACCAGGGGGAGAGATCGTCAGAAACCGTGGAAACGCCCCTAGACTCCGCTTAAAACTGCCGCTGCGGCGCAAGCACAAAACTGGTTAGATGACCGCCGAGCATTCACCGGCTGGCGATTCTTCGTCAACTGCTATCCTCCTGCAGGCAGCAAGAGGCGTCTATGTTGTGGGGAAAGCCGCACGGTGATGCGAGCCGAAAAGCGATCTGGCTGCAGGGTCGCAGGAGTTGTGAAGCAAAACGGGGAAGCTATGGAGGAATAAGATGATGAAGGAGCATGGGGTGAAGCCAGTTGGATTCTGTGCTGCGTTAAAACCGCCATTGCTCAACTAGCCGGTGAGCCAGGAAGCGACCAGAGGAGGGTCAGTGACACGGGCGTGATATTTGCTGTGCCTGTCTGGTTATGGTTGCGGTGTGTTCCAGATTCTGGTGTGTGTCGTTTCGTCTGAGGTGTGTCTCCCTGACTCTGCGGCTGTGAGGAGGGCTCTGCCAGTCTGCAGAGTGAGACTCTACACTGTCTGCCTGCCTTGCCTTGCCACCGCCTCCCTCCCTCTAATTCGTACCTGAGTGTCACCTCACCCATACACCTGCGTGTCCGTTCCTTTCACTCACTACTCACTACACACCGTCTGTCTGTCTGTCGCTGAGATCCTTCTTTTTTGACTGACTGTTTCATCGTTCATTCAGTGCCACTTATCGTCGTTATTGTGTCATAGTGCTGTCTGTCATCACCCCTCGCGCCCGAACTTTTTTCATCCCCTCAAGTCAGTCAGTGACCACAGCCAGCCAGCCAGGCGCCGCGATTGCTTTCCGATCGACTCTCGTCCTGTCTGTCTGTCTGTCTGTCTGCCCAAAGCGGCCTATCTGGCGCAGTGAGTGTCAGGCAGTCGTTTGTCATCCCTCCCGTCCGTCACCTAGCGCTACGTACCCACCAGGGGAAGAGCAGAGGCATGTGTGTGTGTGTCCGCCTTTGAGCCGACAGCGTGTGTGTGTCCTTCGTCCATCCCATCGTTCCACAGACATCGGTATACAGACAGACAGACAGATCGGCTCACCCTCTGAGCGCTTAGTGCCCCGCCCTCAGTCGGTCCATCGATTGAGAGCGTTTTGAAGCTCAGTCAGGAGGCGAGAGAGGTGCACACACTGTGGGCTGGGTGCTTGTTTGTTGATTCGATCCACACACCGATCTTCGATCCGTCCACCCACCCGTCGTTTTATTTAGTCCGTGTGGCTTGCTTGCTGGGTGCCTTACATTGGCAGACAGGTCAGCAAGCGGGCTGAGGGCTTACCGACCAGCACGCACAAGTGCCTGCCGGTTGTGAGGTGTCTTGACGCTCTCGGCATTGATTTTCAATCGACCCACTCGGTATAAGCGAGCGAGAGAGACAGATAGCGAGGAGGCAGGAGCAAGGAGCAAGGTACCACCAGAGCAGCAGCAACACAGCAGCACAGCAAGCTATTTTTGGGCCTTTGTACTGACTGTCGGCGGCCTATTTGTCGGTCGGTTAGTTCGGTGGGTAAGGTGGGATTGATTACTTCTTATTTGTCCCTGCCAGTCGTCGGCCGGTGGGCCTAGTTGTTTTGCTCGTGCCTCACCGACGGACGGACTGACGCCTGACTGACTCCTGACTGACTGACTGCTTCCCACCGCACCGAACGCCCCTTCTCTTCCTCGTCTTTGTTGACTGTCTGGCTGTCTTGTCTGTCTTGTTAGTCTTTCTGTCTACCTACCTGCGGCCATGACCAACTCGTTTGCGTACACGCGTGGCCGCGTGGGTGGCCCCTCCTACGGCGGCGGGGGTGGGGGTGGGTCCATGTCCCCGTCCTTCACGTCCCAGTACCTGTCCCAGCAAGTCCCCTCCCTCTCGCTCCATGACCAGCACCCCTCCCCCTTCCCCCCAACACACCTCCAGCAGCACCAGCAGCACCAATACCAGCAGCCCCACTACCAGCAGCAGCAGCAGCACCACGACTACATCCCGCTGGAACAGGCGGCATACACCGGCCACCAGCAGCACCAGCAAGAGCCCATTCCCAACCCGTCGTCCATCGCCTTTGTCCCCAACAAGGCCGCGGCGTCGTTGCTGCAGGCGGTGGAGAGGCAGCAGGTGCTGCCGCACCCGGCTCCCACCCCCACTGCTCACATCGATGCCCATGGCAACGTGACGGTCGCCCTGGGGACGCTTAAGGGCGCTGCGACGGGTGACCTGAGTGGATTGCTGGGTGGGAGTGAGAGCGGCAGCAGCGGCAGTGGGCAGCCTCGTCCGGTCGACAAGGCGAGCATCGTCAAGCCGCCCTCGCAGATTGATGAGGTGCCCGACCAGTTCTACCGGACCAAGGTCAGTGAGTCAAGGGAGGGAGGGAGGGAGGGAGGGAGAAACGAAGACGCTGATATGTCTGTGTTTATCGTGCTGTGTGCGTGTCATCCGTCGTTGCAGATGTGCCCATTCCTGGAGAAGGGCTATTGCCGAAAAGGCAATGCGTGTAACTTTGCACACGACTCGTCGGTAGGGACCCCAAGAGACACACGCCTCTAGGATCGATCCCTTATTTGTCCGTTCGTCTGTTCATGTGTCACTCAGGAGTTGCGTGTGGGAGTCCCCCTCTACAAGACGAGACTGTGCACCAGGTTCCAAAAGGTACGAGGAGACGCACAGACATCAATCAGCAAGGATGGCAAACACCCAGCCACCAACTGGTGTGTGTGTCCGTGTGCCCAGGGTGAGTGCCGCGACGCCAACTGCTCATTCGCTCACGGTGAGGACACGACGAATAATAAACCTATTGCCACGTACGTCAATCTAATCTTTCGCGTGTTCATGTGTTCAGGGCAGCACGAGTTGCGGGCGACCCTCGACTACTTCAAGACGGACATGTGCCGATACTGGCTCAAGGGTACGCACGCACGCACTCATAAATTAGGACCAACCATGCCGCAAAGGAGAGGAGACACAAGTCGATCTGCGTCTGCATGTCTCTCTGTCCGCAGGTAACTGCACGGCTGGCGATGCGTGTCGTCACGCACACGGCGTGGAGGAGCTTAGACCTCGTGTGTACCGGTGAGATCTAGCACAGAAAGACCAACAAACGCCCTTCGACCGATGCCTACGTGTGTGTCTGTGCATCTGTGCATCTGCAGCCGCACTGAGCTCGAGAAGCGTGCGCGTGAGGAGGGCCGTCCACTGGAGGAGGTCATCCGCGAGGCACTGGACGAGCGCAAGAGGTACTTCAAGGAGAAGACCGCCGGCCACAAGAAGGGCGGCGCCAAGGGCCAGCTGGGCAGCCTCCGCAACCTCTCGGCCGCCGAGCTGTCCATCCCCCAGCCCCACAACCCCGCGGTGCCCTTCCATCCCGGCCTTCTCGACACGCCGGCCCTCTCCCAACTCGCTCAGGGGCAGAACCTCTACCAGCTCGCGCAGGGGTCCAGTGACCACCAGCGGCTGTACGGTGAGGCGTTGATGGCGTCCCTCCTCCCCACCAAGGACGCCTCCCGCTCGATGCCCAACGTGACGTCGCGCGACAACACCACGCGCCGCATCGTCCTCGACAACGATGGCCGCTACTACGAGGAGCGTGTCCAGAACAACACCAGCATCCCCCCGGGCATGCTCAACCAGCACCAGCAGCAGCAGTTCTACCAGCAGCAGCAGACTAATCAGGCGAGCTTTTCGTCGAGACGTCCTGGCGCGGGCCAGCGCCGCAGACATGGCGACGGGCAGCCGATCGACCCCCGTGTGCAGCAGCTGCTGGCCCTGGTGGGCATTGACGTGCGTGATGTGGACATCGACGTCGATTTTGCCGGTCTCAAGGAGCTGCTCGCGCGACTCGGCGGTGCCCACGTGGTTGCGGAGTGGAACAACACCCACGGCGCCGCACAGCAGCCCGAGCAGCAGCAGCAGCAGCAGCAGTATCAGCAGCCCGAGCAGCAATACCAGCAGCACTATCAGCAGCCACAGCAATACCAGCAATACCAGCAGCAACCACAGCAATACCAGCAGCAGTACCAGCAGCCACAGCAGCAGTACCAGCAGCCGCAGCCGGCGAGGCCGGCGTCACGGCCCAACCAGCGGGAGGAGCCGCCGGCGATGCAGGCACCCCCATCGACCGTCCAGGCGACCGCCGCTGCGCCGCCCCCTCCCCTGCCCGGCTACCCTCGCCCCTCAAGACCCCCATACCCGTCAGAGGCCCCTCCTACCTACGATTTCGACGCGGTCGAGACGAGCAAGAACGACCGTGCACCGCCGGCATATGAGGAGGAGGACGAGGCACTGGTGGCCGCCAGCAGGGGCGGCAAGAGGGAGGAGGACAACAAGGCGGGCCGCAAGGTGGTGGGGAGAAACATGCTGCAGATCGACGCTGTGACGGCTCCCGTGCTGGCCTCGTCGTCATCGCCCAAACGCGAGCACTCTGGAGGTGAGGAAGGCTTACCCACAGGCGCTGACAAGCGTGAGTGGCTCACCTCACACTGCCTTTATGTCCTCTTTCTTGCAGATGTGAGCACTCATTCGTTTCAAGTTCCCAGCACCTCATCGTCTCTGCCTGCGCAGCCTGTGCCCGTCGCCAACCACGAGGGTGACTTCGAGTCGGCATCCCCGACGGGCTCGTCACCGCTCAACTCGGTCCACTCGGTGCGGGTGCCGTACCCGCTAGGCAAGTCGCCCTCAGGCACTCCAACCACGGACATGCCCCCACCCCCCCCTCCCCCCGTCCGTGCGCCGCCATCGCGACCCCCACCGCCCACACGGCCGCCCAAGTCCTCCACGAGCGCCACCAAAGACGACCACGCCCTCATGTCGAGCACGGCAGGCAGCACCAGCAGCGCCGCCATGGCCGACCAGGCCGGATCGTCACTGCACGGCGCCCCGGACTTCGCCAACGGCAGCTTCAAGGTGCGTGTGCCGATGCCGTGTGGGGACAAGACCGAGGAGGGGGCGAGCGCAGAGTCCGCTGGAGTGACGCGATCGGCGGTCGCCCAGCGGGCTGCTGCTGCTGATGGGGGCAGCGGGGGGAGCGGGGAGGGAGACAACGAGCAGATGACGCCGTACCCCTACACCAGTGACCGCCAGCCGCAGTCGACTCGCCAGCCGAACGGCCAGGGCAGCGAGACGGACGTCCTGCCCGGCTTAATTGGCATGCGCAAGGAGTCGTCGGCTGTGCTGTCATCGTGCTCGACGGAAGGCGGCTTGAGCCTCTCAGGGTACTCACCAGGGCTGGCCACTCGCCGCGACGAGAGCGAGGGCGTGTCGCCCCCCAACAACAACCGAGACTCGTCGGCCCTCTCGCAATTTCGCCAGCAGTCCATGTCCCCTCCCCCGTATGGCGGCGGCAACGGCCTCTACTTCGAGCCGTTCTTCCCCGCATCGCCGCTCTTCCCCTCCTCGCCCGAGAACGACAAGTCGGGCATAGGGCGGCACGTGTCGAGCGACGGGAGCGCCTCACAGGGGTCGGTCGAGGGCGTCCCGCGATCTGGAGCGTCAGACGGGTCGAATGGACAGGCCAGGGAGGAGGCCAGTGGTACCGCTGCCGGGCAGTGTGGCAGTGGTGGTGACAGTACTGCTATGCATGAGGGTGGGAGCGGGAAGCAGGGCGACGATGAGGAGCATGAGTTTGGGGCTCCGCTGCCGTCGGACCTGCTGCAGGATCTCTGCACCTGAGTGAATGAGGCAGAGATCTCGATAGATGCGATGCGGAGAGGGGAGGGGGGGAGGATCGCCTGACTGAGTGGGGTGTGCATACGTGTGTCCGCGTACTCATCTATCTGCCTGTCTGACGGCGGATGGCTAATGGATGTGTGTTTTCTTAGAGACGGCGGGGAAAGGATGATAAGAGGGCAGGTAGGAAAGAGGGAGGGAGAGGGGACGGACGGGGCTGAATCAAAACAAATTTCTCTGATTGATTGATGTATGCATGCGTGTGTTGACGAACGAACGAATGAATGATATTTTTGGCATTCAAGGATGGATCTACCCACACACGATGCCAGGTGTGTGGGGGGGTCGGTGCTTGGGCTGTGGTGTGTGGATGGGATCGGGTGGGGGCCATCCACCCCTGCAGTCACTCATTCAGTCAGTCAGTCAGCCAGTCAGTCAGTCGTGGGATAGTCTAAGTGCGTGTGAGAGTGCTGTGGTGGGTTGGGTATGGTGTGGCTTCTTTGTCAAGTCTTGCTTGATCGATCCATGACATGAGTGCGTCCCATCCATCCCTGTCGTGTCGTTTTGTCCGGTCGCCGACCAATCGACCGCACACGCGCTCGTACGCACACGCGCTCGTACGCTGCATACATATGTGCACTCATCGATGCGCCTCCCTGCCTTCCTGTCTGGCTCTTGCCGTGTGCCTGAGTAGGACACGGCTGCTGGTGGCTGTCTCGGTGCGGTGCAGGCAGGGGGGGGGGGGGG